GGCGAACCAGAGCAGCGCACGGAAACGCCGTTTACCTTCCCGCTGGAGTGTTACCTATTTATCTACTTGCACTTTGATGTACTTTCGAAATGCTAGGTTGGCAGGAGCTGGGATCAAGCAACGGGAGCTCACCCCGTCGCAGGGATTCGAACCGCCGACCTTCTGATCTGCAAGTCCTAGGCTCTGTGGTTTAACCCACAGCGCCACCCGTGTCCCTTTATTATTAGTAGGTAGGTGTAAAAAGTATTCCCTGGCTTTCTAGTTTCTATCACTTGGTCCAGAGTCAATACACCTGTTTCCATTAATTTTTTCCATAGTACCATCTTTTTAGCAATTTTTAATATAGGGTTTCACCACAGGGCAAGTTTGGCATGCGAGTATACATCAACTTTATTTATATTAGACAACATGTTCTATATCTTTCTAACTGACTTAGTTGTTTCTAGAGTCACCTGGGATTTCAAATATTTTGATCCTAGTACAGTGGATACGAACAGGATCCGTTCTGGAGCCCAGTTCGCATCCAGAAGCGAACGCAACCTGCGTCTGCGCATGTGCAAGTCGCGATTCGCCAGTTCCGCTCATGCACGTGACGTCATTTTGACCGTCTGCACATGCGCGAATGGCGAAACCCAAAAGCGCTCAACCTGAAGCACATTTAACCCGAGGTATGACTGTCTTCTCCAGCCCACCAAAGGGGCTGTATGTGCATATTCTAAGGTCACCCACGTCGGAAAATTAAGACCAACAATGAGTTTCCAGTATTTAATACATGACAGTAGATATGTATAAAGTAGATAAGTATAATGTAGATAAATATAAAGGCATTTCCTAAACAGGGAGTTTATCATTTGAAAACATGAGATATAGAAACTGCAAGTCCTTTCAAAATATAAATTAATCTGGGAATTATATTCATTTTGAGAACATTCCGCCTTCTCCAAAGGGTAAGGCTCAATGACTTCTGTATGTGAATATATGAAGAAATCTCTTTTATTATTTTATTTATATTGTGACTTATTTTTTTTTATCTCTTGGTATTAAGTTGCCTATATATTGTAGAGATTTGGAACAAATCTGGAATTGATATTCCTTGAAGGAATGTGCAATCAGATTTTGCCCTACTGGCATCAATTCCGATTGGACAAATTAACAGAATAATAGAATAGAATAACCTGATTGTTTTACCAAAAGCATCTATCATTTGATATAAACAATAAAACTAGTTTATATTCAAATGTATTGTGAACTACTCTGTGAATCTCAGTGTTGTCTCATGGTGAAAGCCAAGCATTCTAAGCAGATACTAAAAAGCGATGGCGAGATAGGACATCCTTGTTTGGTTCCTCAGGCCTGAGGAAAGGTGGCAGAGAGATTACCATTCTCTTTGACTCTTGACGTAGATGCTTCATAGATTACTTTAATCCCTTTTAAGATATCCAAAGGAAATTCAAATTTAAGTAAAGCTGCTTTCATGTACTGTTTACGGATTTTGTCAAAAGCCTTTTCAGCATCTAGCGATATAATTACAAACTGGTCTTTATCTTTATTTAGATCTACCAAATCCACCACTAATCTAATATTATCTGCAGTTTGTCTCGCTTTTATAAAGCCGGTCTGGTCACCCTTGACTGGCTATTACCTGATGAATTTGATAGAGTCCTTCCCAAAGTGTCAAAAGCTCGAGACTTCCGAGTTGGCGCCTCTGGCAATGGCAGATTTCCTCTTATTGGGAGGAATCCGCTCCGTGGAAAACAGGGTCTGAACCGCCACGGCGAGGCGGAGAACCATCAAAAACCACAGGCGGGAGAAGCCTGTGGACGTGGGATTCGGCTGGCACCTTTGCGTCCCCCCTACTCGCGGGGAAACCCGGTTACGGGGATCCGGAGCGACGTGGGGTGAGTGGCGCGGTGCTTTGAATCTACTGCTTCTTTCACGGAGTGAAGCCGCATTGCTGTTGCCGGAGAGCGCTGACTTTCTCCTGTGGACAATTGGATTTTAAACAACTGCCCGTGAGTAGAACGGAAAATTGGATTAAGAATTTTTTAAATTTGGCACTGAAGCAGGAAGGTCTAAACAGGAAGTCCGCCTTCTGCTTTTTGTAGATAGATTGAAGCAAAGACACGGCTAGCTAGAGTTTAGAAAGTCGTCTGTAAAGGACCAAAATTTCATCATTTAAAATTACTGAACCCCCCTTGGAAGCAGGAGAAGAGGGGGGAACCTTTTTTTAGACTGTTTAAACCTGCAGAAGAGAGAGTAAAGAAAGGCAATTTTCCACCGTCTTGAACCTGGGAGCGGGGTGTCAGGACAGACGTTCTGGGGAAGTTCATTGACTATGGACAAACGTTTTTGACAGATAGTTAAAAGAAGAGAAACATATTGATTCCATTGTTCCCCTTCGCATTTAAAAGGAACAAAATATTGACAAAATATCCGAAAAAGGGAAACTTTGTTGCTAGATCTGCTTAAAAAAAAAAAAGGGATGGATACAAAAAGAAATTGTTTCCCCTAGAGGGAGCTTGTAAAACTGTTATTAAAACCGAACTGGGGAGCTTTGCAGCTGTAATAGATTAAGATTGTGGGACCAGACTTCAACCTTGAACAACAATGTACTCGGAGGTTCTGGTGCTTGCCTTTTGCAAGACAAGTGCTTTATTGGAACAGTTACATGAGAAGATGGATTTGATGACTGTTGCGATCGGAAATTTTGGACAGACAGTGGGTACCTATATAGAACCCACTCAGGAATTAATCCAGGAATGTGCTTTGACAGATGAGATGAAGGAGGAGGCTGAGATGGAGGGAGCTGTGGCCCAGCAGGAACATGAGTTGTTGGATTTGACGAATGAACCTGGAAAAAAGTCAGATTTGGAGAGATGGAGTTCTGTTTGGCTTGGAGATGGGGGGATGGATGGACCCCCCTATGCAGGGATGTTTTGATTTTTCAAGTCTGGCTTTGGGCTGGGGGGAGCTCGGAGTTGTGGGGGCCCTTAACTTTGGAGGGGCCTTGAAACATGCCTTCAAATACCACGTGGATTTCGGTGTTGACTATGGAAAAGGGGCTGACTTGTCGAGAAGGGACAAAAATATTGTCAAGCTGGAGTCTCCCTGAGTGAAAGGAGCAGAAGACAAAGTAAAGTACAGGTATAAATATGAAGAAGACCTGCGGAAGGGACATGGAAGAGACTTAAGAGCCTCGGACATACGGTCACCAGGTTGATGGACTAGATGGATGGGATAGAAAGGACTGACAAAACCCAAGACCAGGAAGAAGAGACGATGGATGAAGATTGGAAGAAAGTTTTAAAAATTCATTTAGAAAAGTATTGTAAAATTAATGAGTATTAGAAAAATGTTGGAATGAAATTATTGGGCTTTAGCAGAAATGTTAAAAAGAATTATGTAAGATTATGTAATGGTTAAGAGAATTTGGTATAAATAAGATATAAATAAGATTTAAGTTTTAAGTTTTAGGACTTTTTATGGTAAGAAGGTTAAAATAGATTAAGGTAATTTAATGACAGAATATTGTGAAAGATGGAAAGGATTTGCTGAGATAATTAATAACTAGAATACAAAAAAGGGAGGTGCGAGGAGGTCGATGAAATAAGGTAATGACAGTTAAGGATCTTGGAATATTGGATTTGTTTTTCAATTTTTTGTTTATTTTTGCTTTTTATGTATTGTGTGCTTTGTTTTTTCTTTTTGACTTTGGTTTTTATTGATTTGTATTGTTTAATTGTTACTTTTATCTACTTTTTTCTTTCCTTTTTTTCTCTCTTGGTTTATCCTTCTTATTTCTTTGTAACCTTAAAATTCTCAATAAATATCATTTTTTAAAAAAACAAAAAACAAAGTGTCAAAAGCTCTTGGAAAAAATCCTCCATTAACTTAGTTGCTTGAGCCCGAGTAGGAGAATTGGTAACCCCATTACTATCCATGAGAGTTGAGATTCCAAAATAGTGAGGCTTTTACTTGAGTTCTTTTCACACAAGACAAGATGCATGTTCTCCCTCTGCTGCTGGCTTTCTAGCTGTGGCCTTGAAGCACACTCCTCTGATCCTCTCCCTGGAGCTGATCCTGCCTTCCCTTCCTGACAGCTGGGGACCTGAGCACTAAGGAAGTTCTCCGGCTGGTGCGGTGGTCAGTTTCCCATGGATAGAACACCCAGGTACCACTCAAAGACTTTTCATTCTTCCACTCTCACTTCTCTTCAGCAGTGCAATGGAGCAGCAGCAGCAGCCAAAATAGCTGATCCTATTCTAGGCTGCAACAACCGAAGTGCAGTGTCTGGATTGAGGGAAGAAATAGTCATGCTGTATTCTAACTTGGTTAGATTCCACCAGAGTTCTGTGTCCAGTTTTGGGCACCACAATTTAAGAAGGATATTGACAAGCCAGAACATGCACAGAGGAGGGTGACCAAGATGATCAAGGGTCACATGGAAGATGGAGCAAACTTGTTTTCTGCTGCTCCAGAGGGTAGGATCTAAATGGCTACACATCAGGAAGAAAATTCTGATGGTGACCTCTCCTTCCTTGCAGGTTCATCACCAGAGGTTGAATGACTATCTGTCAGGCATGCTTCAGCAGACATTCCAGCATTGCCACGGCCCTGGTAGTTCCTTCCAACTCTACAATTCTATGTTTCTATGCCTCTCCTGACAGGCATCCTTTGATGGGAAGCGGGATTGTCACTCTCATTGAAGCTCTTTCCGCATTGCAATAACTGAATGGTTTCCCCCTTTATGAACTATTTGATGGGAAGTGAGTTGGGCTCTCTGACCGAAGCTCCGTCCACATTCTGAGCACCGTTATGCTTTGTCCCCTGTGGGAATTCTTCCATGGGCTGTGAGACTTGTCTTCCGGGCAAAGCTCTTCCCACATTCCAAGCACTAATATGGTGTCTCCTCCCTGTGAGTTCTTTCATGTGAAGTGAGACTTCTCTTCCAACTGAAGCTCTTATATGGCTTCTCCGCTGTATGATTCTTTTTTTTAAAATCATTTTTATTAGATTTTTATTTTTTAACAATGTCTATAATCATTACATTACATTCAGATTTCAATTTCCCCCTTCCCTGCGGACTTCCCTCAACTTCCATCACTGGTTTATTACATCTTATATTACATTCTGCTGTTTATATTTACTTCTATATTGTCATATTAAGTTTCCTATTTTTTGTAAATAAAATTGCAAATGTTTATTTAAATCCTGCCAATGATTCTTTTGTTGTTGTTGTTTCTGCAGATATGATGTAAAAGGTTCCCATTCTTTTTCAAAGTCACTATTGTATTTTCCCCGACAGTTTATCTGTTAGCTTTGCCAACTCTGCATAGTTCATCAGCTTCTCTTGCCATTGTTCCTTTGATGATATTTCCCCAGTCTTCCAGTTCTGGAAGACTGGTCCGCTGTATGAATTATTTGCTGGGAAGTGAGATGGGCGCTTCAAATGAAGCTCTTTCCACATTCTGAGCACTGGTATCATTTGTCTCCTGTGTGAATTCTTTGATGGACGGAGAGCTGGGCGCTCTGACTGAACCTTTTTTTACATTCAAAGCACTCATACGGTTTCTCCCCTGTATGAATTCTTTGATGGGGAGTTAGACTTTCCTTCCAAGCGAAGCTCTTTCCACATTCCATGCACTGATATGGTTTGTCCTTGCTGTGAGTTCTTTGATGCGAACTGAGATGGGAGTACCGACTGAAGCTCTTTCCACATTCCAAGCACTGAAATGGCTTCTCACCTGTATGGATTCTTTGATGGTTCTTAAAGCTAGCACTGTGACTGAAGCTCTTTCCACATTCCAAACACCGAAATGGTTTCTCACCTGTATGGATTCTTTGATGGGACATGAGACCAGTTCTCTGACTGAATCTCTTCCCACATTCCAAGCACTCAAAGGGCTTCTCCCCTGTATGGATTCTTTGATGGTGCATGAGACCTGCTCTATGAGTGAAGCTCTTTCCACATTCCAAGCACTCAAAGGGCTTGTCTCCTGTATGAGTTCTTTGATGTGAAGTCAGACAATCCTTCCGGCTAAAGCTCTTCCCACATTCCATGCACTGATATGCTTTTTCCTCGCTGTGACTTCTTTCATGTGAAGTGAGACTTCTCTTCCGACTGAAGCTTTTTCCACATTCCAAGCACTGATACGGTTTCTCCCCTGTATGAGTTCTTTGATGGGAAGTGAGAATTTCCTTCCGAATGAAGCTCTTTCCACATTCCAAGCACTGATATGGTTTCTCCCCTGTATGAGTTCTTTGATGTAAAGTCAGATTAATCTTCCAACTGAAGCTCCTTCCACATTCCAAGCAGTTATACGGTTTTTCCCCGGTATGAATTCTTTGATGGGAAGTCAGACTTTCCTTCCGGGTAAAGCTCCTTCCACATTCCAAACACTGAAATGGCTTTTCCGCTGTATGAGTTGTTTGATGGGATGTGAGATGGAACCTATGACTGAACCTCTTTCCACATTCCAAACACTGATATGGTTTCTCTCCAGCATGAATTCTTTGATGAAGAGTGAGATTATCCTTCCGACTGAAGCTCTTTCCACATTCCATGCACTGATACGGTTTGTCCTTGCTGTGAGTTCTTTGATGAGAACTGAGATAGTAGTACCAACTGAAGCTCTTTCCACATTCCAAGCACTGATATGGTTTCTCCCCTGTATGAATTCTTTGATGACGTGTGAGACTTTTCTTCTGGATGAAGCTCTTTCCACATTCCAAGCACTGATATGGTTTCTCCCCTGTATGAATTCTTTGATGGCCTGTGAAACATATCTTCTGGATGAAGCTCTTTCCACATTCCAAGCACTGATATGGTTTCTCCCCTGTATGAATTCTTTCATGGGCTGTTAGATTGACCTTCCAGGCAAAGCTCTTTCCACATTCCAAGCACTTATAGGGTTTCTCCACGCTGTGAATTCTTCTATGGGAACGGAGATATGATTTCCGAATGAAACTCTTTCCACATTCCAAGCACTGATATGGTTTCTCCCCTGTATGAATTCTTCTGAAGCTTTCTATACACTCCAAATATTGATACCGCTTCTCCATTGTGTAGATTTGGTCTCCCTCATTCTTCCTTTCTGATTCATCACCATCTGCAACAAAAAAGAAACGGATCACAGCTTCAGGGACAGAATTTCAAAAGAGATATTGTAATCCAAAAGGCAGCCTTACCAAGAGACTCCATGATCCCATGATTCTCCTCCATTACTTCCTTATACAGAGCTCTTTGGTCAGGATCCAGCAACTCCCATTCCTCATCTGTGAAATGAACAGCTACATCTTCAAAGCACACCAGACCCTAAAATAAAAAGGGAAAAGTCCCCTTCTTAGACAACATACAGATTATCTACTACACATTGCTCTGTTGTTTTCTGCCTGTTCACTGCTGTTTTGTTTTAATGTAATTGTTTTGCTGTACATTTTTATTATGGATGCATATTTTAATGTTTTAACAAAACTGGGTACTTTTGTGTATTTTAATGAATGGTATTAAGCTTTGGGGGAATGGATGGAATGCCACATGGTGATCTTCAAATAATTCTCTCTGGTCATGGATTCCACTTTCCCAGATGGAAGGATCCTCTCTTTGCTCTCCCCATCTACTGTTCTGGAGGTGAGGGGAACCTTCACAATGCATTAAAGTCAACTTCAGGGGGTACTGCAGGTCACGGGGAGAGGAATGAGGGGAAAGGTGAATTCTGGCCACTGTTTTATGATTTGTCAACTATTTAGAAGCCTATTTTAGCATTAAATGTTAAATGTGTAAATAAAACTGCAACTACTGATAAATAATATTAGCAACATTCAGGAGGCTAGTCAACGTGAGGTGATTGTTCACCATTCTCAGAACATAAGGCTCCTGCAATGGCCTTTACAGCCAAGAGAAGGAGGAGAGAGATTCATTAGGGACTCTTTCGCCACAATCCTTCATTCTCCCTACCTGATCTGGTTCCGTGGCTGCTGCATCTCTGCCTTCACGCAAAGATGGATAAGCATCACTTGCCAGCATCATTCTGTCACCTGTGAGAGACAAAGGTAAGTGGCAGGCCATTTTCACATGCTCCTCTTAGAGGTGAAGCAGTGCATCTCTAACTACAGGTGGGCCTGTAAAAAAGTCACACCTACTGAGTGCATTTTGACATTTGTATCTTAGCTATGTCTCCACTTTGGGCTCTTGGCCCCTAGTGTCCTCCCCCAAAATGTTGGGGGGGGAACCCACAGATTAGTGGCAAAATCTACTGAATGTGTGACCAAATGGGAAAAAACCCTCCTTCCTCCTTACCCAGTGGTCTCTCTTTGGTGTCCAATGGAGTCTTCTCTGCCTCAGAGGAATCCAGGCCCGTTTCTGCAAAGATAATCTTTCCCTGAAAGGGCAAAAAGGATTGGAAGCAGAGAATGGAGAGAAACATTAGAAGAGAACTGGGAGAGGCAAAAGCTTTAGGGGGACCCGATATCATTCCTTGGAAGCTTTCCAAATAAGATTGGGGGATTAAGAGAGAATTTTGGGATACTCTCTCTTATGTTCAGAGCCCCTTGGGAGTATCCAGAGGAAAGTCTCTCTCACCTGCTGCTCTGCCTGCTTCCTCTCCTCTGCCTGACTCAGGAGGAATCCTTCGGCCAGGGCCACCGCCTGGGAACTGGTCTCCGCTCCACATTCCCTCACCCAGCTCTCCATCTCTGGTGGAAGGACAGCCAGGACCTGCTCCAAGATCACCAGGTCCAGCATCTCAGCTTTTGTATGCCTTTCTGGCTTCAGCCACTGACGGTCAAGGTGGTAGAGTCGGTTGCAAAGCTCTCGGGGTCCTTCAGCCTCCTGGTAGCACAACTGCCTGAACTGCTGGCTCTGCACATCTGAGCAGAGAGTGTCCTCCTCACCCAGGATCTTCTGCATGGAGCTTTCCCAGAATCCCTCACTGCTCCCAGTTTTGATGACATGGCCTCTTCCTGCTTCTGGGCCAGCTGAGTCTTCCTCATCCATCTGGGCTCTCAGGAAGCCTCCAAGATATTAGAAGGAAGCCCTTGTTCGTCTGTCCTAAGCAGAGGCGTCTGCAAATCCTACAAAGCAAATACATTGTTCTGTTATGAAACTGATACATGGCCACAGGAATGACAAATTTCTCTGAGCAAGCATAGATGAGTCTTGTCAAGAACCAGGGCTGGGCTGGACTACAGCCCAGACTCTGAACTGCCTTCAAAAAAGGAGAAGGAGAAGTCAGCATCTAGTCCTCCTAGAAGAAAAGTTACTATACAAAATCTGCAGGAAACCTAGAGAACTTCTGTTGGATGAATCAGCCTATTTGCTCCTGTCTTTCAGTATTTTCAATCAGTCAAAGAAGCCAGAACTGTGATTGACAAGTGAGTCATTTGTACGAGTGTAAATTAGACACTCGTCTATAGTCTGTTCAGCCATAGCAGGTTCTGCCCCCTTCCTGCCCTTTGACTTCCTCCCCAAAGAACTCTCTTCCATTGTCTCCTGAGAAGAGACAGAAGTCAGCCAACCTGCCAACTTTGGGGTCCTCTGGGGTTGCTCTCCCTCCCTCCCCCAATTCAGGGCCCAATTCTTTCCTGCTTCTGCCTCAGTTTCTAGCATTTGGATTCTCCAATGTTCTCAAGACACACTACTGGGGAGGAGTCCCTTTTTCTTAGGTCTGAGGGCCAAAGAACAGTGCTAAAAAGCAAGTATAGAAGGGCTCACATTCCTGCTGTGTCTGTAAGCACCCCTCTTCAGCTGATTCCCCTTTTTCTGGTTTTGTTTAAACATATTCCTCAGACACTGACCTCTAATAATGAACCATATGTTGTAGATATTCCCATAATATTGTGCTATTTCTGTGATAATGACACAACAATTTTTTGTATCCTTTAGTATTCCTAGTTTTCTGCTTTTGCTTATACCTACATGTTCCCATGAGGTATTTTCCCTCAGAGCCAGAGCAGAGTGTGGGGGTGCAGAGCCTCTGAAGTTCCAGCAGAGGGCAGGAGCCTCTCTCTTTCTGATTGGCTCACCGCCCTTTTGGAGGGAAAATCTAAGGAGCCCTTTCTGAGGGAGAGTTTGAAAGGGACAGATTTAAGAGGGGAGTTGGGGATTGGGAGAGGGTTTGTCTGAGGGAGAACTGGCTCTGATCTGAGGAGAATCTCTCTAGCCAGAAGAAGGAGTCTCACAGCTTAGATAGGAAGACGACCCAGTGGAGGGTCTGGGGAGAATATGGAGGCAGGATTTAATCTGGAGGGCTGAGTCTGAGGAGGCAGGAGAGGGAGAAGCTGTGGGAAGACAGACTAAACCAGGTTCTCCTTCCAGTCAGGAGGGGAGAGATCTGCTAGGAAGAGAAGACCCCCAAACGAATTACAAGGGCTGAGGGGATCCCCTGGGTCTGTGGGAAATCCTTCAGGAGTGGGATGGCTAAGAGAGAGGCAGACAGGGGGCGAATGCCCCTCGCTCAGGAACCAAAGTATTATGCTGAGAAGGAAGCTGTGTTGTATTAAAAGTCATAACTAAGTAAAGGAATGAGAGGGAAGGAACAGAAACCGTGTTGATTCTTTTACCTCCTATGGTTGAATCCTGAACTTCCAACTGAAGTACAACAAGTGAGCTTTTAGCAACTGAAGTTTAAGAAAAGCTGTGCATATACCACAGTGACATCTTTATATTTAGTTTAAGTAAGAAGTTAAGGAGAACGCACCTCCTGACCCAAATTTGTTTCACAATCTTATTTTTTTGTAAATAAAACTGTTCTTGTTCGTTCAGCTCCTTCCTAAGACTCTAAATCTAAACGCACCTCCTGACCCAAATTTGTTTCACAATCTTATTTTTTTGTAAATAAAACTGTTCTTGTTCGTTCAGCTCCTTCCTAAGACCCTAAATCAACAAGCTTTCCCTCACATAAGATACTCACAAGGTAAAAAGTAAAGGACCCCTGACAGTTAAGTCCAGTTGCAAACGACTGTGGGGTTGCGGCGCTCATCTCACTTTATTGGCCAAGGGAGCCGGAATACAGCTTCCGGGTCATGTGGCCAGCAGGACTAAGCCGCTTCTGGCGAACCAAAGCAGCGCTCGGAAACGCCCTTTACCTTCCCGCCGGAGCGGTACTGATTTATCTACTTTGACATGCTTTCGGACTGCTAGGTTGGCAGGAGCAGGGACTGAGTAACAGGAGCTCACCGCTGACCTTCTAATCAGCAAGCCCTAGGCTCTGTGGTTTAGATCACAGTGCAACCCCCCCCCCGTCCCTACTCACAAGGTACACTAACAAGGTCTCTACTTAGACATGTCTGGTCTAACAGAAGCATGTGCTCCTGACTTCTCATTCCCCTTTCTGTCTCACAGATGGCGGAGGGATTCTGGCAAGACCGCCTCATCCATCTTTTCTTGGTGGCGGAGGAGAAGTCGCGGCTGTGGAACCAGATGAGGTGGGGAGAAGGAGCATGGGGGGGGGGGAGAGAGAGAGACTGGGGGGTGTAATTTGCGTACCATGAGGTGGGTCTGCTATATTTAATGGGGAGCAGTTAGTGGGGTGAATCCGCTACACATGGAAATAAGATAAAGTCTAACAGAATCATAGAAATGCAGCAGTACGAAAAGTAATCAAAATAACATCCAGGACAACACATAAAGCCTCAAGCATGAGATAAAATAGCCTCATGTTACACCCAGAGCCTCAAGAAACATCCATGGTGTGGCTGGAATCTGCAGAGTTTTGAGCACCACAAAACTGTGAGCAGCGTTTGTTGTAAAGGAAGAACAGGGTTGCAGCCCTCCTGCAAAACCGCCCCCCCGGCTTGCCAGAGAGCAAGGAGGGGGCGCAGGACCCTGGGGGGCACGCATGATCTGAACACGGCCCCCCCTGCACCCTCGCCTGCAGCCCTGGGACCCCCTTCTCCCCCAAAGGGAGGAGAGAGAGAGGAGACTCACCAGATTGCAGCAGGAGCCCCCCAGGCAGCGAAGCTTGCAAAGGAGACACACCAAACATCCACGCCCCGCTTGCAGGAAGTGACTTGGGAGGGGGAGGGAGGGGCTTTGGATCGGGAGGACCTGGTCCCCCCCCCCCCGCCTTTCTTTCTGTCCTCTCTAGGAATCCGGTTCCGTTCCGTGTCCCCCTGGCGAAGCCAAGCGCCCCAAGCTCGCCCTTCCCCTCTGCAAAGCAGGCGCCCAGGAGGAGCCCCGTGCGCTGCGTATTTCGGGGTACCCTCCTGGCTGGGCTCTGAGCTGCTCCCTCCCTTGGCAAAAAAACAAGAGGGAAAGCTGGCAGGGGGAGGGAAAGCACAACCCGCGCCCTCCCCCCACGGCTAGACATTGCGATCTACTCCCCCTTCCTTTCAAACCCGTGCTTTAAATTTCCCCCATCATACAAAAAACCAGCATTTAGCAGGGCAGTGAATGGCTCATGAGTCTTAAAAGCCTTTTCAGTGCTCTACTGATTCAAATTTAAGTCTTAAAAGATGACGGGCAAGAAGGATAAATGACGAAACGACACAAGTTTTCACCACCTATCTCCCAGGGGAGCAGCAGAAAACAAGGAGGTTGGTCAAGGGAGCCTCTGAGTTTAAGGACAAGGTTCAACCATTTGCTGCTCGCAATGCAATGAGTATTTGTCTGTGGATGTCTCTGTTTACCGAATCTAACATAAAGAACAGTACAAGAGGAGGGGGTAGAATTATCAGGGTCTGGGGCACCTGCACAGGAGCACCTGGGAAAGATTAGTAGGTGCCATGGCACCCACATGTGCCCAGTTGGTGACCCCTTACAACACTCGGTTGAACACAAGCCAATTTCTCACGCAATGAATGTAAATAGTTCCTCTCCAGCAGGAGTCCTTTGGTCAAGAGTCTTTGCTCAGGCTACAGCTCTTTCCAGATCAGATGTAAGTTTTGTGCTCACACTGAAGAGTTATCGGAGTTGAAATAAGGCCCCTGCGTGAGAGGTACCCTACCTCAGTTCATGAAGTATCAATCGTTGTTTGGAAACTGCTAAATAATTTCCATTCTAGTTTTCTTGTGCCAAGGAGTTTCCTCAAGCTAAGCACAGGTATCAGTTCTGTAGGTAGAGTGACCCAGATTCCCCAGGATAGGTAGAAATGCCAGTGCAAAGACTCTAATGGGATAAGGCTTTTTAGCTTATAAATTTAATTCTTCCCCCTTTTCCAGGAATCCTCAGAGGCAGAGTGTTCCATTAATGGCAGCCCAGAAATGAATTCATTCCCTGACCCATCCCACGAGAAGCCAGAGTCTCGGGAGCCTATATCTCCTTCCTTGAAGCCCAGGAAGACACCACTGCCACCTCAATCCACTGGTCCACAGGCTCCTCAGAGGACTGAGGGACTCTGGGGAGAAATCCTGAGCCTGAAACTCCAGATCCTAGGTCACCAAACATTTTTCGGCCACTGCCCCCCAGGCCTCCCCAGTGCCCCCTACCATATAAAAGCATTATTCAGAAGAGCTGTTTGCACAACACACTAAGGAAGATAATAACACAATAAATTCTAAACAGTAACAACTGCATATTTACTCAAAATCAAATGCACATAGTTTAATTAGTACAACACAAAACCAATGAACTTGATTATGCAATGGAAGTTCTTCAGAGTCTGAGAGTTGTGTACACTGCCACACCTTTGCTTCTTAGTGCCCCCCATGGGGCAGTATCACCCACTTTAGGGACCAAGAGGAAGCCAGTGGTTGCAGAGAAGGAACAGTCCTTTAACTGCCCAGGTGTGGCATTCAGGGGGTGGGGCCTCAAGTCAGCCAATAGCAAACCAGATTCATGGGTAACTCCAGGCCACTGCTGAGATAACTGCTCTACCTCTGCTGCAGGATTGCAAGCTGTGGTCTTGAAGCAGACTCCTTTGTCCCTCTCCATGGTGCTGATTCTGCCTCCCCACCCCATCCTGATACCTGAGGATCTGGGCGCTATGGAAGTCCTCTTGCTGGTGCGGTCATCAATTTCCCATGGACAGAACATCCATGTACTACTCACAAGGCTTTTCATTCTTCCACTCTCACTTTTCTTCAGCAGTGTGATACAGCAGCAAAAATAGCTGATGCTATTCTAGGCTGCATCAATAGAAGCATTGTCCCCGGATTGAGGGAAGAAATAGTCATGCTGTATTCTAACTTGGATAGACTCCACCAGAGTTCTGTGTCCAGTTTTGGGCACTACAATTTAAGAAGGATATTGGCAAGCTAGAACATGTGACCAAGATGATCAAGGGCCACATGGAAGATGGAGCAAGCTTGTTTTCTACTGCTCCAGAGGGTAGGATCCAAATCAATGGCTTCCAGTTACAAGGAAGAAGGTTCGTACTAAACATCAGGCAGAATATTCTGATGGTGGACTCTCCTTCCTTGCAGGTTTTTAAGCAAGAGGTTGGATGACTATCTGTCATGCATGCTTCTTTTTTTTTTACAATAATTTTTATTAGTTTTCAATTACACTAATTCAATGAAAGCGTCATTATAACAATGCCAAATTATAATACAATTACTTATCCCAATCATTCAAATGCCAAATTATATCATTTAGGTGACCTCCCGCATACTAGAATTGATGGTTTGATGATTTACTTTATTTCTGCATTCCAAAATCTTATTCATCTCAATTACACCCCAGTTGAAATAACAATCCCTTCTACAACAACTGCAATATAAACAACATCCATTCGTGTTAATATCAAATTATTTATAAAGCTGTAAGTGAAGCATTCCAACTATGTCCTCCTGTGTGTGTAAGTTATTCTGTCCGTGTTCCTTCCTGTCCTTGTAAAATATTACATCTATCTTTCCCCAGCCGTTGCTGCTCTCCATCATGCCTTGAGAGGAGCTAATATCCCATTGTGGTTTCAGAAGGAACAGTGTAATTTTTGCAGCTGCTGTCAAAGTTGCAGAACAGTGAATCATGGGACGGAGAAATCTCCATTTCTCCGTCCCGTGATTCACTGTTCTGCAACTTTGACAGCAGCTGCAAAAATTACACTGTTCCAGTAAATATCCAGTTTCGCCTTTTTTCTCTCAGCCTGGGAGGGAGAGTGATCTGACAAACTTCAAATAGCTCAGTAATGAACCTTCCTTGGCAAGTCCACAGATTCCTTTCATCTCTCCATTCAGCCAAAAATAAGCAAATATATTTCCAATTAAATTAAATTCCAAGTCTTTTTAGCATTCAGTCCACAAATAATAGAGAATAGGAAAGTCAGCTCTAAATTTCCATCATAAACCTTCTGCTGAATAGAGCTTTCCTTTTTCCTTCTTTCTTTATAACACACACAGTTCCACTTGGTATTATACTCCATAACTGCAATCCAGCTTCACCTATACGTACATAATTGAACTAGCATTTCAGGGAGGGTTGCCAAATCATATCTGTAAAAAATGAAACTTTATTTAAAGACCATAGACTCCCCTCTCCCCACACCATCGTTTACACTGACTGAAGTCTTCTTTCAGGTTCAGACCTTAGCAACCTTGCAGCTGATTCAATTGCACAGTTTATGATTACATCTCTTCTCGCACGCACCTGTACTGTAGTCCAAATTAAACTGTAATTAACAGTAGAACCTCTGCTTCCTAATGGCGGCATAGGAGGGTCATTGGCAGGCAAAGTTCTTTTGCACTCCCTGCCTCCCGCATTCCATGCCGGAGCAAGAGCTATGTACAGAGACGAACTGTGATTGGAGCCTGTTCCCCCCGCCCCTGGGGGGAATTTGCAAGGATAATTACCCTCAATCATCCTTATTTTTCCTTCAATAACAATCTCCCGCTGTCGTGGGAGCTGCCTCCATTAAGGCAGAGCAGCACCAGAAGCCATCTGCCATGCATGCTTTAGTTGAAACTCCAGGACTGCAGTGGGTTGGACTAGATGGCCCCTGTAGCCCCTTCCCACTGTGTTTCTATGATTCTCCTGGTATGCAATCTTTAAGTGGGACGATCAAATTCTCCTCTAGGGCATATTTATTATTAATTGGATCCTCTGGTTCCCAACAGCTGATCAAATCTTTTTGAGACGATTTGTTTAAGCTCCTTTATGTTCTCCTCTTTAGAGTCCTTTTAAATTTCTGGGATCTGGCCTCTTTAAAGTGAAGAATTAGTGGTGATAAAATCAGGTTGTTAAAAGACTCATACTGGGAAAATTCCTTTGGAAATCAACATAGGCTTTGTGCGATGTAGCAGTGAGGGAATTTTGGGGGTCCTAAAGGATAGTAATACTCTCTGAGCATGATTGTAGTAGTTTGAAGGATCCACGTTGATTAAGTCTATATGACCACTTGATCCCCTGATAAAGTCCTCATATGTCTCTTGGCCAGTTGACCCAGAATATACTGTGTTTTTCCATGTGTAAGAAAACCCCATGTTTAAGACGACCCCTATTTTTTTAACCCAAAATTAAGAAAATGCACTATGCACTATCCGTGTATAAGATGACCCCTTATTTTAAACTTGAAAAATTTAGGAAAAAATTGTTACGATATAGAAGTAATGCGGCCGCGAGCTGGTAACTTGAAAGCAAAACATAATGGGAATGTTGGGACTGTTCCGTGGGAAACAGAGGGACAGTCTATTCACAGTGCGAAGCACCGGAATTAGCTCAGAGTGTAATATGAGCTGTACAGGAAGTACAGGAGGAGTTTGTCTCTCGGCTGTTGGAGTTTGAAGAGAGCAGACGTGTTTTTCTGTATCGCTGCAAAGACAGAAATAAAGGCATGTAAATACGTTTCTGTCTATCTCTTTCCCCTGCCTGGGGGGGCAGGAAAGAGGGGGGGTGTTCTTCTCACGCCAAGAAGGATCGCCTATCGCGACCTAGCCTGTATCCTGCCGGGGAATGCAGACAGGGAGGTCAACCGGAGATCAAGCCGGGTGCCTGGAGAGTGGCCAGTTTCTCCTGATAAAGGCTTGATTCCCAACAAAAATATGGTCTTATACATAGAAAAATACGGTAGTAAGGCTAACCTTATTCAATAGAAGCACTAAATGATGTTGTTCTTTCATTCCACTGTCAAGCTTCTGCCTTGTAAACTCTTGTGATTTAGAGCTCATTTCCTGAACCTTATCTTTGGCTCTCAATGAGTTGGGTAGAAAAGGTTTTATTGATGTCTTGTGACTTATCAAGTCAATCTCCTTTCTGAGTGTCTCTGTAAACCTGTTGATTAGAGTGTCCATTTCGGAATGAACTTCTTTCTGACAGAAAAATGACAAACTAGAACAACTTTTTATGTGTATGTGATTTTATACTAATTTATTTTGTTCTACTCAACTTTGTTCTAAACTATTCAATTTTGTAATTGGTGTTTTTATCTTGATACTGGTCACTGACAGTAATAAAATGACTACTGCTACCACTACTGGTATGCATTCTCAGATGCGAAGTTAGAGTTTCCTTCCAGGTGAAGCTCTTTCCACATTCCAAACACTGATATGGTTTTTCCCCTGTATGAATTCTTTGATGGGGAGTGAGACTTTCCTTCCTGGTAAAGCTTTTTCCACATTCCAAGCACTGATATGGTTTCTCACCTGTATGAATTCTTTGATGGGCTGTGAGATGGGGCTTCTGACTAAAGCTCTTTCCACATTCTAAGCACTGATATGGCTTTTCACCTGTGTGAATTCTTTGATGGAAAGTGAGAGTTAATCTCTGGGTGAAGCTCTTTCCACATTCCAAACACTGATATGGTTTCTCCCCCGTATGAATTCTTTGATGGTTCGTGAGACTTTCCTTCTGGGTAAAGCTCTTTCCACATTCCAGGCAATGATATGGTTTCTCTCCTGTATGAATTCTTTGATGGGCTGTGAGATTGGTCCTCTGACTAAAGCTCTTTCCACATTCTAAGCACTGATATGGTTTCTCCCCTGTATGAATTCTTTGATGGAAACTAAGAGTTAATTTCTGACTGAAGTTCTTTCCGCATTCCAAACACTGAAATGGCTTCTCCCCTGTATGAACTCTTTGATGTGTCTTAAGGATAGCACTCTGACTAAAGTTCTTCCCACATTCCAAGCACTGAAATGGTTTCACCCCTGTATGAATTCTTTGATGCGACTTAAAATTGGATCTCTGATTGTAGCTCTTTCCACATTCCAAACACTGATATGGTTTCTCCCCTGTATGAATTCTCTGATGGGAAGTGAGACTTTCTTTCCGACTGAAGCTCTTTCCACATTCCAAGCACTGATATGGTTTCTCCCCTTTATGAATTTTTATATGAGATCTGAGACTCTTTTTCTGGGTAAAGTTTTTCCCACATTCCAAACACTGATATGGTTTCTCCCCTTTATGACTTCTTTGATGGGTGGTGAGATGGGCACTCTGACTGAAACTCTTCCCACATTCCAAACATTGATATGGTTTCTCCCCCGTATGAATTCTTTGATGAGTGGTGAGACTTTCCTTCCAGGCGAAGCTCTTTCCACATTCCAAGCACTGATATGGTTTCTCCCCCGTATGAATTCTTTGATGGGAAGTGAGACTTTCCTTCCAGGCGAAGCTCTTTCCACATTCCATGCACTGATATGGTTTCTCCCCTGTATGAATTCTTTGATGAGTGGTGAGACTTTCCTTCCAGGCAAAGCTCTTTCCACATTCAAGGCACTTATATGGTTTCTCCCCTGTATGAATTCTTTGATGGGTCATGAGACTTTCTTTCTGCGTGAAGCTCTTTCCACATTCTAAGCACTGATAGGATTTCTTCCCAAAGGGATTTATTTGAAGGGAAGTGGAATGGGAGCTTTGACTAAAGTTCCCTTTACACTCTGTATATTTACATCGCTTCTCCATTGTGTAGGCATTGTCATGGTCTCCCTCGTTTTTAATTTCCAAGTCATTACCACCTGCAACAAAGAGAGAAACAGATTACAGACTCAGGAAGAAATGCAACCCTCGGTTATTGAACAATGCTAATTAATGCTTGGGACAGAGGAAGAAGAGAAGGGAATTAAATGTAAGGTCTTACAACCGGCTTCACTGCTTTTGTCGACAGGCGTTAATCGGACCTGAGTGTCAGGAACGGATCAGCAATAAATCACATGGAATAAATGAAGTTACCTTTTAATGAGAACAAACAGGCTGCTCAGTAGTGTCAGGCCCAGTGAGCACAGAAACAATTCCTAGTAGACTATGCCACTATGAGGAAGTCGTGACAGCTTCAAGTCCCTGCCTTCCCCTAACTGACTAAGCCTCCTCTTCTCATGGGTCCTTCCCTTCCACCAGCACAACTGTCTCTGCTCCTTCTTCTTCATACCTCTTCTAGTTCAGAGAGATGAGGGGGGTAAGGGAGCTTATCACAGCAGGAGGGCGAGACACCCTGGCTTCATCACCAGCCTGACTTGTTTGTGCCTCTTGGCCTCCCTCTTCTTCAGCTTCTACTTCCGGACTCCTCTCTGCCACAGACTCCCCCTGCTCACTAAAACCTGTTACTTCCTCAGCTTCCAACACCTCCTCCTCCCAATCTCTTCCTCTTTTCCCTCTGACAACCACCACTCCCCAGGCTCTGGGCCTTATTCCCTTGTGGGTTTCCCACCTGGTTCCTCCCACCATTCCTCTACATCCAGCCAGTCCATGACAGTGGGATTTGAAAAGCCTGGTTCTATTCTGGGACAGATTTTGTTCTGCAGAATCATGGAATTCACACCCTACCAATGTCAGTCATCTCTTTTGTCAATGAAAAACTGACAGAAGCAAAAACAGAAACAGAAAACGTGACAGAAGTTTCTTCAATTTCCATTAACATCCCTGAAGGCCCAGATAGTTCAGACCAGCCCAACCATGGTTTTAAAAGGCAAAACCGGAGGAAGAATATTCAGAGACAAAAGAGTAGATAGCCCTCCATTCAGGGTTCACTGTGAGGGTGTCAGAATCGCAGATGCTGTAGGTGGTGCTGTTGAGCTCCATCAAAATATTGGAGGTCCATCATATATAGATACGTATTGAATTTCAAAACAGACATCATGATCCAACAGCGAGCCTTACTGAGAGAGTTCATGATCCCACAATTCTCCTCCATGACTTCCTTATGCAGACCTTTCTGGTCGGGATCCAGCAAAGCCCACTCCTCATCTGTGAAACGAACAGCTACATCTTCAAAGCACACTGGACCCTAAAAGAAGACGAGAAAAGTCTTCCTCTTAGACGGCCAACAGATTATCTACAACAGAGTGCTCTGCTGCTTTCTGACTGTTCGTTGCTGTTCTGTTTTAATGGGATTGTTTTGCTGTACATTTTAATTATGGATGCACATTTTAAGGTCTTAACGGAATTGTTTTATTGTGTATTTTAATGATGGGTATTCATCTTTGTGTAAATGGATGGAACTTCATCTGGTGTTCTTCAGATCATTCTCTCTGCTCAAGCATTCCACCCTTTCCTCTCCCCATCTACTGTTCTGGAGCGGGGAAACATTCACCATGCCCTAAAGAACCAAGTACTTGCAGATCAAGCTATGTCATGCAAGGGATTGTATCCAGAGAGGACTCATAAATGTGTCCTACATGGCAGGGAAGGAAATTCCTGCTGATTTGTTGTGTCTAAAGTTGTTAACAGAGAACAACTGGATGTATATGTACATAGATTGCTGATGTACTAGATATTGCAATGGTTATCATGAAATGGGGGAGGATATTAGTATTTCACTCCTCCCATTGCAAGGATCATCTGATTCTATTGTTTACTTTCTGTTCTGTGAAAAAGGAAGCCTGTCTGTGTGACTTCCATCTCTGGTACTATTGTACCTTTTCTTTCTGCTCTGTCTTGCGACAAGACAGGATGTCTGTATGAGGGCTGCTCCTCTCATACGTGTTTGGTATGTTCTTTAATCTGTAATTAGTAGAAATAAAGTAGGTATGCCCAGATACCTCCTCTCTTCCGTCTGCGCTACTTTTACTCTTCTAGACAGGGTGCTCACAAGAGAGCAGCTGTGAGTCCCACAACACCAGGACCCCTTTCTGGGAATGCTGCGTAGCTCTTCCAGTTGCCGGAGGTGGTCATGGGGCCTGCAGGAGTGTTCCATTAAAGCCAACTTCAGGGGTGCAGGGGGCCACAAGGAGGGGGGAAGCCCTATAATGCAACTGATGGGACTCGTGAGGTGAATTCTGGCCATGGTTTAATGGTTTGTCAATTGTTTAGAAGCTTATCTTAGCATTAAATGTTAAATTGATAAATAAAACTGCAACGACTGATAAATACCATATTTTTTGCTCTATAAGACTCACTTTTTCCCTCCTAAAAAGTAAGGGGAAATGTGTGTGCGTCTTATGGAGCGAATGCAGGCTGCACAGCTATCCCAGAAGCCAGAACAGCAAGAGGGATTGTTGCTTTCACTGCGCAGCGATCCCTCTTGCTGTTCTGGCTTCTGAGATTCAGAATATTTTTTTTCTTGTTTTCCTCCTCCAAAAACTAGGTGCGTCTTGTGGTCTGGTGCGTCTTATAGAGCAAAAAATATGGTAGCACTAGCATCATTCAAAAAGCTGGTGAACGTGAGGTGGTTGTTCATAATCCTCAGTACATAAACCTTCTGGAATGGCCTTTACAGCCTTTGTTAAGGACAATTTTGATAGAAGTCAAGAACAGGAGGAGAGAGAACCCTTGGTACCCCATCTCTAAACCTCTTTCCCAAAAATCCTTCATTCTCCCTACCTGATCTGGCTCCAGAGATGCTGTTTCTCCCCTGCCACCATGCAAAGATGTATGGGGAGGTCTTCCTGGCATCATTCTGTTACCTGTGAGAGGCAGAAGTAAGTGGCCGGCCATTAGTGTATGCTTTTCTTAGCACTGAAGCAGTACATCTCTAACTACAGATGGGCCTCAGAAAAAGTCTCACCTACTGAATGAATTTTGACATTTGAGCTCCTGGCCCCAAGTGTCCTTCCCCAAAAGATGAAAAGAACCCACAGGTTAGTTTCAAAATTCACAGACTGTGACGAAATGGAGAAAAAGCTCCTTCCTCCTTACCCAGTAGTCTTTCTTTCGTGTCCAATGGAGTCTTCTCTTCCTCAGTGGAATACGGGTCCATTTCTGCAAACAGATCCTTTTCATGAAAAAGCAGCAAGGATTGAAAACAGAGAATGGAGAGAAAGAATAGAAAAGGAACGGGAGATGCACTTTAGGGTATCAGATATCATTCCTTAGGTGCTTTCCAAAAAAGGTTGGGGAGTTTCAGGATACTCTCTCTCATGTTCAGAGCCCGAGAGTATCCAGAGGACAGTCTCTCTCACCTGCTGCTCTGCCTGCTTCCTCTCCTCTGCCTGACTCAGGAGGAATCCTTCGGCCAGGGCCACCGCCTGGGAACTGGTCTCCGCTCCACATTCCCTCACCCAGCTCTCCATCTCTGGTGGAAGGACAGCCAGTAACTGCTCCAAGATCACAAGATCCAGCATCTCAGCTTTCGTGTGCCTTTCTGGCTTCAGCCACCGACGGTCAAGGTGGTGGAATCGGCTGCAAACCTCTCGAGGTCCTTTGGCCTCCTGGTAGCAGAACTGCCTGGACTTTTTTCTCTGCGCATCTGAGCTGAAGGTGTCCTCCTCACCCAGGATCTTCTGCACAGAGTTTTCCCAGAATCCTTCACTGCTCCCAGTGTTGATGGCATGGCCTCTTCCTGCTTCTGGGCCAGCTGAGTCTTGCTCATCCATCTGGGCTCTCAGGAAGCTTCCAAGAGGTCGGAAGGAATCCCTTGTTCTTCTGCCGCGTTCCGTCTGTCCTAAGTGTGTGCAAATCCTACAAAGCAAATACATTGTTCTGTTATGAAACTGATACATGGCCACAGGAATGACAAAGTTCCCTGAGCAAGCATGGATGAGTCTTGCTAAGAACTAGGGCTGGGCTGGACTACAGCCCAGACTCTGAACTGCCTTCAAAAAAGGAGAAGGAGAAGTCAGCATCTAGTCCTCCTAGAAGAAAAGTTACTATACAAAATGTGCAGGAAACCTTGGAAATTTCTGTTGGATGAAGCCCTCTTCAGCCACAGCAGGTTCTGCCCCCTTCCTGCCCTTTGACTTCCTCCCCAAAGAACTCTCTTCCATTGTCTCCTGAGAAGAGACAGAAGCCAGCCAACCTGCCAACTTTGGGGTCCTCTGGGGTTGCTCTCCCTCCCTCCCCCAATTCAGGGCCCAATTCTTTCCTGCTTCTGCCTCAGTTTCTAGCATTTGGATTCTCCAATGTTCTCAAGACACACTACTGGGGAGGAGTCCCTTTTTCTTAGGTCTGAGGGCCAAAGAACAGTGCTAAAAAGCAAGTATAGAAGGGCTCACATTCCTGCTGTGTCTGTAAGCACCCCTCTTCAGCTGATTCCCCTTTTTCTGGTTTTGTTTAAACCTATTCCTCAGACACAGAACACTAATAATGAACCATATGTTGTAGATAGTCCCATAAACATATTGTGCGATTTCTGTGATATACAAATGACAAGAGAAGACTCAGTCAATTTCTTTGTATCTTTTCTTATTCCTAGTTTTCTCCTTTTGTTTAAACCCACATGCTCCCATGAGGTATTTTCCCTTCTAGGCCCCCCAGAGCCAGAGCAGAGTGTGGGGCTGCAGTGCCTCTGAGGCTCCAGCAGAGGGCGGGAGCCTCTCCCTCTTTCTGATTGGCTCCCAGCCCTTTTGGAGGGAAAATCCAAGGAGGGAGAGAGTTTGACAGAGCCTGATCTGAGAGGGGAGGTGGGGATTTTATTATTGTATTATTATTATTATTATTATTATTATTATTATTAGGAGAGGTTCTGTCTGAGGGAGAACTGGCTCTGATCTGAGAGGGGAGATGGGGATTGGGAGAGGGTTTTTCTGAGGCGAAGGAGCCTCGCAGCAACTTAGAGAGGAAGATGACCCAGTGGAGGGTCTGGGGAGAGTATGGAGACAGGATTTAATTTGGAGGTCTGAGTCTGAGGAGGCAGGAGAGGGAGAAGCTGTGGGAAGGTGGACTAAACCAGGGTCTCCTTCCAGTCAGGAGGGGAGAGATCTGCTAGGAAAAGAAGATCCCCCTCCAAACCAAGAACAAGGCCTGAGGGGATCCCCTGGGTCTGTGGGAAATCCCTCAGGGTGGCTAAGAGAGAGGCAGACGGGGGGGGGGAATGCGCCTCACTCAGGAACCAAAGTATTAGGCAGAGAAGAAAGCTGTGCTGCATTAAAAGTAACTGTAACCCCGGTCATAACTAGGTAAATGAATGAGAGAAGGTACAGAAACCAAGTTAAGCCTTTTACCTCCTATTGTAGAACCATTTCTATCATAAACCAAGAACTAAGACACTGCCTGACATCTAATAATGAACTATATGTTGTAGATATTCCCATAAACCTATTGTGCCATTTTTGTGATATACAAATGACAAGAGAAGACTCGGTCAATTTCTTTGTATCCTTCATTATTCCCATGATTGTTATTATAAAACTCAATTAAAACTTATTCCAAAAAGACAACATACACTCACAAGCCCCCCCAGTGCTGCATCTGCATAGCAGGATGAGACCATAGAATCCAGAGAAACATTGGTAAAGGGTGCTGAGCGCTGCTGGGAGAGGTTCCCTTGGAGTGGCAAGGCAACCGTCCTCCTTGCCAGGGAACTCAGGAATTACAGCTGGTGGGAAGAGGGTCTGCCAGTAACTCTCAGCATTGGGGGGGGCTGCCTCTTTCACCCCCACCCATAGCTGTCAAGCATCCCTTATTTAGAGGGACAGTCCCTTATTCCAGCGCCATGTCCCGCTGCTGTCCCTTATTGATGGATGTCCCTTAAATGATGTCCCTTAAATTTCAAAGGAAGCAGCTCCTCTCCCTCCCTTCCTGCCAGCCAGGGAGGAGGGATGCTCCAACTGTGTTGCTTGGCTGTGTTGCTCACCCAATAAGAAGTCTAAGAACAACTGGGGGGTGGAGCTTGCATGCCTTGTGCTGATCAAATCAGCTGCGTTGCCTGGGGACTCACCTTTGCTCAGCACTTCCCAGCCGAGAAGTGACGGTGGTTTTCCTTGAGGCTTCGTTTGGCTGCTGGCTGGGCTTTCTGCCTTTGGCTCAGAGGGGCTCAGAAGTTGAACATACCTATGCTGAGTGCTCGGATCGGAATCGGATGGATACGTCATCGACTGCCCACTCACCCTTGGCGGCGAAAAGGTTTGTCTGGAACCAGGGCACATGGTGGGGGGAAAGAAAGAAGATCTTGTGGGAGGGGGGGGCTTTTGAATTTGTTTTGGAGGCTCCTTCGATTGACTTATGGGGGGAAAGAAAGGAGCTGGTTGACTAAAATGGTGGGTGACTGGCGATTTTGTGGCGGGGGGAGGCTGTGTGTGTGTGGCTAGTTAATGCAAGCTGGGGGGGGTTTTGAATGCTGGACGGCATTTTGTTGCACGTGCTGCTGCAAACTTTGCAGTGCAAAGCCAGCCCGGGGAGCCATCTTAAGTTGAGGCTGCATAGGCCTTGTGGTGCATGTGATTCAGATTCTATTCATTGAACCTCTGGTTACGAAGTTGGTTGGACAGTGTTCTCGAAGCTACCAGCATGAGTTTGACCAGACTGCAGGAGGACAGGAAGACTGGAGTCCCTGGAACAGGTGAGGCTGCAGGTCCCTTATTTTGGCTGCTGATCCCTTATTTTCAAGGCTGCTGGTCCCTTATTTTCAAATCTGTAAGTTGACAGCTATGCCCCCATCCCTCCCAAGGTTCCCTCCCTTCCCAGCAGGTCTTGGATTCCTTGGGTGGGGAGACCTCTGGTGGTTCTCTGTTCAGGGCTTCCTGGTCAGTCTCAGAAGACCATTTGGACACCTGAGAGGCTGCATGTCTGAACGGGCGCACCTGGGTCAGCCAGGATTCTGGATAAGGTCCCTTCCTGATGAACGCGTGGTGGGGAAAGCTTTCCTTCTAACTGGAGGACAAGGGAGGGTTCGCTTGTATCGGGGTCATTGAAATGGATGCAGAAAATCAGTTTCTTCCAAAAGTGCCTGGACCTGGTCAGCGACCACTTACTCAAGAACTTTGCTGAGGAAAGGGAGCTTAGCCACTGGCTGGGAGTTAGTTAGGATCTCTGAATCCAGGGAAGGTTTCTTAAGGAGTGGATTTACCCCGCCTCCTCCAAGCAGGAAGGGAGCCCCCACTCCTGCAGGGAGGCACTGACCCCTCCCTGGCCCAGCCAGCCCCCCCTCCCTGCTCTTTCTCATCCTCCAAGAGGGGCTCAGACTGATCCCAGCACTTAGTCCGCATCCTCCAGCCTGACGGACTGAAACTCAACAGGACTAGACTGGGCTCTGGCCCCCCAGGAGACCCCTCGGCTATTGCAGCAAACTCTAGTCTGGGGGGATGAAAGCCATGGTTTCCCCACAAAGCGGTGAGCAGTGTTTGCTATGAAGGAAGGACAGGCTTGCAGCCCTCCTGCAAAACCACCCGCCCTCCCCCCCCCCCGGCTTGGCAGAGAGCAAGGAGGGGGCGCAGGACCCTGGGGGGCACGCATGATCTGAACACGGCCCCCCCTGCACCCTCGCCTGCAGCCCTGGGACCCCCTTCTCCCCCAAAGGGAGGAGAGAGAGAGGAGACTCACCAGATTGCAGCAGGAGCCCCCCAGGCAGCGAAGCTTGCAAAGGAGACACACCAAACATCCACGCCCCGCTTGCAGGAAGTGACTAGGGAGGGGGAGGGAGGGGCTTTGGATCGGGAGGACCTGGTCCCCCACCCCGCCTTTCTTTCTGTCCCCTCTAGGAATCCGGTTCTGTTCCGTGTCACCCTGGCGAAGCCAAGCGCCCCAAGCTCGCCCTTCCCCTCTGCCAAGCAGGCGCCCAGGAGGAGCCCCGTGCGCTGCGTATTTCGGGGTACCCTCCTGGCTGGGCTCTGAGCTGCTCCCTCCCTTGGCAAAAAACAAGAGGGAAAGCTGGCAGGGGGAGGGAAAGCACAACCCGCGCCCTCCCCCCACGGCTAGACATTGCGATCTACTCCCCCTTCCTTTCAAACCCGTGCTTTAAATTTCCCCCATCATACAAAAAACCAGCATTTAGCAGGGCAGTGAATGGCTCATGATTCTTAAAAGCCTTTTCAGTGCTCTACTGATTCAAATTTAAGTCTTAAAAGATGACGGGCAAGAAGGATAAATGACGAAACGACACAAGTTTTCACCACCTATCTCCCAGGGGAGCAGCAGAAAACAAGGAGGTTGGTCAAGGGAGCCTCTGAGTTTAAGGACAAGGTTCAACCATTTGCTGCTCGCAATGCAATGAGTATTTGTCTGTGGATGTCTCTGTTTACCGAATCTAACATAAAGAACAGTACAAGAGGAGGGGGTAGAATTATCAGGGTCTGGGGCACCTGCACAGGAGCACCTGGGAAAGATTAGTAGGTGCCATGGCACCCGCATGTGCCCAGTTGTTGACCCCTTACAACACTCGGTTGAACACAAGCCAATTTCTCACGCAATGAATGTAAATAGTTCCTCTCCAGCAGGAGTCCTTTGGTCAAAAGCAGGGGTCAGCAATTTTTTTCAGTTGGTCCACTGTACCTCAGACCTTGTAGGAGCCGGACTATATTTTGGGGGAAGAAATGAAGAATTCCTATGCCCCACAAATAACCCAGAGATGCATTTTAAATAAAAGCACACATTCTACTTGTGTAAAAACACTGATTCCCTCGGACCAGATTTAAAAGGCGATTGGGCCAAATCCGGCCCCCAGGCCTTAGTTTGACTACCCATTGTCAAGAGTCTTTGCTCAGGCTACAGATCTTTCCACATTAGATGTAGGTTTTCTGCTCACACTGAAGAGTTATCTGAAGTAAAATAAGGCCTCTGAGTGAGAGTTATCCTACCCCAGTTCATGAAGTACCAATGGTACTTTACTGATGGTAAAGGTGGTGGAGTTGGCTGCAGACTTCTCAGGGTCCTTTGGCCTCCTAGTAGCAGAACTGCCTGAACCGCTGGCTCTGCACATCTGAGCAGAGAATGTCCTTCTCACCCAGGATCTTCTGCACAGAGCTTTCCCAGAATTCCCCACGGCTCCAGATTTTGATGGCAACATCAAAAGACAACACACACTCCCAAATCCCCATATGCAAGGCATCTGCAAAGCAGGATCAACCCACTTTAGAATCCTAAGAAGAGGATTTGCGCATGCTTTTCCTCACTGAAGGCGAGGTTGCCAGGGCAATGCTGGACACCTGAGACCTGAAATGGTCTAATGGCCTGGGCACATGGGGCCACTCCAAGGTGATGGGGGCTCTTTCCTGGGGTAGGAGGGAGAGCAGCTCTTGAGGACCCCAGGGTTAGAAACCCCCCCCCTCAGCCTGGTGTGAAAATTGTACTCAGTCAACCACAGTTCTAAATTCCTTCCTTGACCAAAAGCACCAAAAGGCAGGAGCAAACAGGCAGATTCATCTCACAGAAACCCCTCAGTTGCCATCACATTTGGCGGGGTCACTTCCCTTCTAGGAGGGCTAGACACGGTGGGGGGAATCAACCCCCCACGGCTCCCAGTTTGGATGGCATGGCCTCTTCCTGCTTCTGGGCCAGCTGAGTCTGGCTCATCCCCCTGGGCTCTCAGGAAGCCTCCAAGATATCAGAAGGAAGGAATCCCTTTTGTCTTCTGCCCAGTTCTGGCTGTCCTGAGTAGAGGGACCTCTACTTATTACAGTGTTTACGACCTATTTTGACGGGCATTAATGATCCTGGCCCAACTGAACTGGCTGCCAATTAGCTTCCACACCCAATTCAAAGTGCTGGTTTTGACCTATAAAGCCATTACCATTATTATTCTTATTTCTAACAATTCGTGAAACCACAGTAAAACTAACAAACATTAAAAACTTCCTGATCTAAAAGTCAGATAGTTATTTATTTTCTTAACATCTAACAAGAGGGAGTTCCACAAGGCGGGTGACACTATCAAAAAGGCCCCTTGCCTTGTTCCATGTAACCTCACTTCCCACAATCAGGGAACTGGCAGAAGGCCTTCAGAAGTGGAACTCAGGGTCCGCGTTGAAGATATTAATCAAAGTCTCTGAAAATTAAATTCATAGACAGCCATTGTCTGGTTTCTCCCCACTGTGACATCTTTGATGGCCTATGAGACTGGTCTTCTGACCGAAGCTCTGTCCGCATTCCAAGCATTGATATGGTTTCTCTCCTGTATGAATTCTTTCATGGACTATGAGATAGAACTTCCTGGTGAACCTCTTTTCACATTCCATGCACTGATATGGTTTCTCTCCTGTATGAATTCTTTCATGGACTGTGAGATTGAACTTCCGACTGAAGCTCTTCCCACATTCCAAGCACTGATATGGTTTCTCCCCTATATGACTTATTTGATGGGTTGTGAGATGGACACTCTGACAGAACCTCTTCCCACAATCCAAATACTGATATGGTTTCTTCCCTGGATGAATTCTTTGATGGGCCATGAGATTCTTTTTCCGACTGAAACTCTTCCCACATTCCAAGCACTTATATGTTTTTTCCACTGTATGAATTCTTTGATGGGAAATGAGACTATCTTTTCGACTGAAACTCTTTCCACATTCCAAGCACTGATACGGTTTCTCCCCTGTATGAATTCTTTCGTGGGAAGTGAGACTATCTTTCCGACTGAAACTCTTTCCACATTCCAAGCACTGATACGGTTTCTCCCCTGTATGAATTCTTTCGTGGGAAGTGAGATGGGCCCTCTGAATGAAGCTCTTTCCACATTCCAGGCACTGATAGGGTTTCTTCCCTGTATGAATTCTTTGATGGGAAGTGAGAATCTTTTTCCGACTGAAACTCTTCTCACATTCCATACACTGATATAGTTTCTTCCCTGTATGAATTATTTGATGGGAAGTGAGACTTTTCTTCCAGGTAAAACTCTTCCCACATTCCATGCACTGATACGGCTTCTCCCCTGTATGAATCCATTGATGGGCTGTGAAACTTTTCTTCCAGGCGAACCTCATCCCACATTCCAAGCACTGATATGGTTTCTCCCCTGTATGAATTCTTTGATGGGAAGTGAGATCTTTTTTCCAGGTGAAGCTCTTTCCACATTCTAAGCATTGATAGGATTTCTTCCCAAATGGATTTCTTTGGAGGGAAGCGGAATGGGAGCTTTGACTGAAGTTCTCTCTACACTCAGAATATTTACATTGCTTCTCCATGGTGTAGACATGGTCATGGTCTCCCTGGTTCTTAATCTCTGATTCATCACCATCTGCAACAAAGAAAGAAATGGATCACAGCCTCAAGGAGAAACGCAGCCCTCAGTTATTGAACTTTGCTAATTAATGCTTGGGACACAGGAAGAACTGAACTGAATTAAAAGTAAGGCCTTACAACAGGCTTCACTGCTTTTGTTGACAGGCATCAATGAACATATGTATGGGAACCTGAATGTCAGGAGTGGGGCAGCAATAAATCACACCGAGTAAGTGAAGTTAACTCCTTATGAGAAGCAACAGGCTGCTCAGAAGTGTCAGGCCTAGTGAGCACAGCAATACTTCCCTCTGGGTCTGGCCCCTATGAGCCAGTTGTGGGGACTGAAGGCCCTGCCTTCCCACAACTGACTAAGTCTCCTCCTCTCCCAGATTCTTCCCAAGGGATCTTAAATTCCGAAAGAGATATCATGATCCAACAGGGAGCCTTACTGAGAGAGTTCATCATCCCGCCATTCTCCTCCATGACTTCCTTATGCAGAGCTCTCTGGTCAAGATCCAGCAACGCCCATTCCTCGTCTGTGAAATGAACAGCTATATCTTCAAAGCATACAAGACCCTAAAAGAAGAAGAGAAAAGTCTTGCTCTCAGACAGCAGAAAGATCATCTTCTACACACTGTGCTGCTGTTTTGTGTCTGTTTGTTGCCGTATGGTTTTAATGGGATTGTTTGGCTGTACATTATAATTATATATGTACGTTTTAACGTCTTAATGGAATTGTTTTATTGTGTATTTTAATGATGGGTATTCATCTTTGTGTAAATGGATGGAACTCCACCTGGTGTTCTTCAGATCCTTCTCTCTGCTCAACATTCCCTCCCTTTCCTCTCCCCGTCTACTGTTCTGGAGGGGAAAACCTTCGCCATGCCCTACAGCCAACTTCAGGGGTGCAGGGGGTCACAGGGAGGGGAAGGAGGGGGAAACCCTATAGTGTATCTGATGGGACTCGCGAGGTGAATTCTGGCCACTCTTTTTTATGGTTTGTCAGCTGTTGAGAAGCCTGTCTTAGTATTAAATGTTAAATTGGTAAATAAAACTGAAGCTACTGAAAGATAATACTAGCATCATTCAGAAGGCTAGTGAACGTGAGGTGATTGTTAATCATTCTCTGAACTTAACCTTCTGGAGTGGCCTTTACAGTCTTTGTTAAGGACAATGTTGACAGAGGTCAAGAGCAGGAGCCTCTTGCCTGCTATGCTCCTTCTCCCTACCTGATCTGGTTCCAGAGCTGCTGCTTCTCCTCTGCCTCCATGCAAAGATGAATGAGGAGGTATCCCTGGCATCATTCTGTCACCTGTGAGAGGCAAAGGGAAGTGGCCATTAGCACATGCTTTTCTTCGAGGTGAAGCAGTGCACCTCTAACTACAGATGGGGCACTCTATGCGCGGCTACCTTTGAAGGGGACTCAGAAACTAATCCAGAAGGAGGCTACCAGACTGGTGACTGGGAGCAGCTGCTGGGACCATATAACACTGGTCCTGAAAGACCTACACTGACTCCTAGTATGTTTCCAAGCACATTTCAACATGTTGGTATTGACCTTTGAAGCCCTAAACAGCCCTGGCCCTGTAGACCTGAAGGAGCGTCTCCACACCAATCGTTCAGCCCAGACACTGAGGTCCAGCTCCGAGGGCCTTCTGGCAGTTCCCTAACTGCGAGGAGTAAAGCTACAGAGAACCAGGCAGAGGGACTTCTCTTGGCCCCAAGTGTCTTCCCGCAAAAGGTGAAAGGAACCCACAGATTAGTTCCTAAATCCATAAAATGCAACCAAAGGGAGAAAAAGCTCCTTCCTCCTTACCCAGTGGCCTCTCTCTCCTGACCAACAGAGTCTTCTCTGCCTCAGAGGAATCCAGGCCCATTTCTGCAAAGATAATCTTTCCCTGAAAGAGCAACAAGGATTCAGAACAGAGGATGGAGAGAAATATTAGAAAAGGAATGGCAAAGGGAAAACCATTTCAGGATTCTTTCCAAAAGCTTAGTAGAGGATTTCAGGATACTCTCTCTCATGTTCAGAGCCCCTTGGGAGTATCCAGAGGAAAGTCTCCCTCACCTGCTTTCTCTCTGCCTGCTTCCTCTCCTCTGCCTGACTCAGGAGGAATCCTTCGGCCAGGGCCACCGCCTGGGAACTGGTCTCCGCTCCACATTCCCTCACCCAGCTCTCCATCTCCAGAGGAAGGACAGCCAGGAACTGCTCCAAGACCACCAGGTCCAGCATCTCAGCTTTCGTATGCTTTTCTGGGTTCAGCCACTGATGGCAAAGGTGGTGGAGTCGGCTGCAAATCTCTCGGGGTCCTTTGGCCTCCTGGTAGCAGAACTGCCTGAACTGCTGGCTCTTCATATCAGAGTGGAGGGTGTTCTCCTCACCCAGGATCTTCTTCACGGAGCTTTCCCAGAATCCCTCACTGCTCCCAGTGTTAATGGCATGGCCCCTTCCTGCTTCAGGGCCAGCTGAGTCTTGCTCATGCATCTGTGTTCTCAGGAAGCCTCCAAGATATTGGAAGGAACCACTTGGCCTTCTGCTAAGTTCTGTCTGTCCTTATTAAAGCGGCTAGCAAAACCTACAAAGGAATACATCTTTCTTGTATAAAATTTATATTATTATCATTATTATTTTATTAAAAACCTATAATTCAAAGTTCAAGGTATTTTTTAAAAAATAATATTGACAGCATCATCAAGTACCTTTTCTAATGAGTCTGGCATCTTTTTTAGGGCCGGACGATAGGGCATACACTCCCCACCGAGGGCCCCCCCGGCCCCCGCCCCTCTTTCCCAAGGCCTCTGACCCCAGAGACAGGTGTTTCCAGGACCCAGAAGTCTGGGAAGGGGAGCTGCTCAGAATGTTTTCCCCTGGCTGCCATCTCTGCCCATCTTTCCCTAAACCTGAAAGGGGCTTCTTTGCCTGCCTTTTCTCAGCATCCCAAGGGAGACCACCCTGGCAAGCTCGCCCCCTCCCGGGCTGTGCAGAGGAAGGAGGGGGGCAGGACCCTCCTCTCCCTGACCCCCCCATGCACCCCCCCCGCTGCAGCCCTGGGACCCCTTTCTCCCAAGGGGGGGGGGGAGAGGAGGCTCACCGCATCCCGGGAGGCGAAACCTCCCCCCCCCGCTTCCCCCGCTTGCAGGAAATGACGGGAGGGAGGGGGAGGGGCCTTTGCTGGGGGGGGGAGGACCTGGTCCCACCCCCTCCTTCCTTTCCTCTACTCTCTCGGAGTCCAGCTCAGTTCCCTGCAACCCTTGCAAAGCGGAAATGAAGAATCCGGGAGGAGCCCCTCCCTCCCCACCCGCCCAGAGAGGTTTCTATTGCGGGGGGGGGGGGGACAGAAGTTGTCAGAGGACAAGGGGTCCCTTCCCATCCCTTGGAGGCTTCCTGAGAGGCCAGATGGAGGAGCCGGACTCAGCTGGCCCTGGAGGGAAGAGGCCATGCCATCAACACGGGGAGCAGGGGAGGATTTTGGGGAAGCACCCTCCTGACTAGGCGTTTGGCCAGGAAATGTGGACTCTGACCTGTTGACTCTGCTCTCTCCCGTTTCCCCCTTTTCTGGTTTTGATTAAACCAATTCATGAACCAAGAACTCGTCCACTAATAATGATCCCGGTGTTGTAGACATTCCCATAAACTTATTGTGCGGTTTTGTGACGCACAGATGACAAGAGAACCCTCGGTCTATTTATTTGTATCCTTTCTTCCTCCTGTGAGCCTTGTTTATAAAACCCAATAAACCAGAATTCCAAAAAGGAAGGAAAAAGACAACACACACTCCCAGGTCCCCACCTGCGCTGCATCTGCAAAGCAGGATCAACCCACTTTAGATTCCTAAGAATCCTGCAAGGTGGCTGTCACCAATGGAAGCAAAGGCCCAGAAAAGACTCAATATGGAAGCCAAATGGCCGAAATATTGGGAAATATTAGAAAAGGATGGAGATTCTTGGAGATTGCAGAGTTTGGAAAAACTAAAAGATAAAGTGCGAGACTGGCTACACTATGCTCAGATTAAAGAGGTTTTTAATTCGGACAAAAAGATAGGATTCCAGGTGGAAAAATCGAAGCTAGAAACAGAATTGTTAGAACCTAAAGCTAAGACTCTTTCTAAAATGTACAACTTGCTGTTAAAATGGAACACACAAGATGAAACGGTTAAATCAGCAATGATAAAATGGGCACAGGATATTGGATATAATATCATGTTTGCTGACTGGGAAAAGTTGTGGACCACCGGTTTGAAGTTCACGGCATGTAATGCCTTAAAAGAAAATATTATGAAAATGATATATAGGTGGTACATGACCCCAGTCAAGCTTGCAAAAATTTACCATTTGCCTGATAATAAATGTTGGAAATGTAAAGAAACTGAAGGAACGTTCTTCCACCTTTGGTGGACCTGTCCTAGGGTTAAGGCCTTCTGGGAGATGATATATAATGAGCTGAAAAAGGTATTTAAGTATACCTTCCCTAAGAAACCAGAGGCCTTGCTTTTGGGCATTGTCGGCCAAAGGGTGTTAAAGAAGGACTATACACTCCTTATGTATGCAACAACAGCAGCAAGGATACTGATTGCTAAATATTGGAAAACTCATGATTTGCCCACGCTGGAAGACTGGCAGATGCAACTGATAGACTACATGGAACTGGCAGAAATGACCGGCAGAATCCGTAACCTGGGAGAAGAAGCAGTGGAAGAGGATTGGAAAAAATTTAAGGACTATTTACAAAAATATTGTAAACTCTATGAATGTTAAGAAGGTGAAAGAGTAAAAATATGTGTGGCATCAGAAAATCAGTTAAAGAGAATGTGAGAATATAGTGAAATTAGAGTTAAAGTTAATTTCTGAATACTATTATGTCTAAATCAAGGTTTGAAGTTTTTGGGAGGTAATCTTAAAATGGGAAACATAATAATTGGAAAATATAAATAAGTACCTGAAACAAGGGGATAAATTGCTGTTTAGAATTTTTTAAATTTGGAAAGCAGGAGCGAAAGATGCGAGGAAGTCCAAATAGTTATGAAAGTAAGATTCGGTTTATGTTGATATATTTTTTATTATCTTTCTTGTATGTTCTTTTTTCTTTGTTTTTCTTGTGTTGGTTTTTTCTTTCTATGTATGTTGAAAATTTTGAATAAAATTAAAAAAAAAAAAGATTCCTAAGAATCCTGGGATCTGTACTTTCTTAAGGATGCTGAAAGCTGCTAGGAGACACCCTCCAAGTGGGCTTTAATAACCTGTCCTTTTTGCCAGGGACCTCGGGGAATTACAGTTGGTGGGAAGAGGGTCTCTCAGCACTGGGGGGGGGGTGCCTCTTTCACCCCCATCCCTCCCAAGGTTCCCTCCCTTCCCAGCAGGGCTTCGATTCCTTGGGTGGGGAGACTTCCAAGAGTTATCAGCCGGGCTTTCTGGTCAGTCTCAGATCATTTGGACACCTGAGAGGCTGCATGTCTGAACGGGTGTACATGTGTCAAAGTCTGGCGAAAACCATGGCTAGGCAACCCGTCCTCCTTGCCAGGGAACTCAGGAATTATAGCTGGTGGGAAGAGGGTCTCTCAGCACTGGGGGGGGGGGGGCTGCCTCTTTCACCCCCATCCCTCCCAAGGTTCCCTCCCTTCCCAGCAGGCCTTGGATTCCTTGGGTGAGGAGACCTCTGGTGGTTCTCTGTTCAGGGCTTCCTGGTCAGTCTCAGAAGATCATTTGGACACCTCAGAGGCTGCATGTCTGAACGGGTGTACATGTGTCAAAGTCTGGAGAAGACGCTGTCGGATGAAGGAGAGGTGGAAGGAGTGAGGAAAACTTTCCTTCTAAGCTGTCCGAAGTGTCTACAAATCCTACAAAGCAAATACATTGTTCTGTTATGAAACTGATACATGGCCACAGGAATGACAAAGTTCCCTGAGCAAGCATGGATGAGTCTTGTCAAGAACCAGGGCTGGTCCCTGGACTACAGCCCAGACTCTGAACTGCCTTCAAAAAAGGAGAAGGAGAAGTCAGCATCCAGACCTCCTAGAAGAAAAGTTACTATACAAAATGTGCAGGAAACCTTGGAAATTTCTGTCGGATGAAGCCCTCTTCAGCCACAGCAGGTTCTGCACCCTTCCTGCCCTTTGACTTCCTCCCCAAAGAACTCTCTTCCTTGTCTCCTGAGAAGAGACAGAAGCCAGCCAACCTGCCAACTTTTGGTTGCTCTCCCTCCCTGCCCCAGTTCAGGGCCCAATTCTGTCCTGCTTCTGCCTCAGTTTCCAGCATTTGGATTCTCCAATGTTCTCAAGACACACTACTGGGGAGGAGTCCCTTTTTCCTAGGTCTGAGGGCCAAAGTACAGTGCTAAAAAGCAAGCAAAGAATGGCTCACATTCCTACTGTGTCTGTAAGCACCCCTCTTCAGCTGATTCCCTTTATCGGGTTTTGTTAAAACATCTTCCTCAGACACTGAACACTAATAATGAACCATATGTTGTAGATAGTCCCATAAACATATTGTGCGATTTCTGTGATATACAAATGACAAGAGAAGACTCAACTTCTTTGTACCCTTTCTTATTCCTAGTTTTCTCCCTTTGTTTAAACCCACATGCTGCCATGAGGTAGTTTCCCTCCTAGGCCCCCCAGAGCCAGAGCGGAGGGGGGGGCAGTGCCTCTGAGACTCCACCAGGGGGCGGGGGCCTCTCTCTCTCTCTGATTGGCTGCCCGCCCTTTTGGAGGGAAAATCCAAGGAGCCCTTTCGGAGGGAGAGAGTTGGACAGGGCCTGATCTGAGAGGGGAGGTGGGGATTTTATTATTCTTTTATAATAATGATGATATTTATTATTATTCAGAGAGCTTTTGTCTGAGGGAGAACTGGCTCTGACAGAGAGGGTTTTTCTGAGGCGAAGGAGCCTCACAGCAACTTAGATAGGAAGACGACCCAGTGGAGGGTCTGGGGAGAATATGGAGGCAGGATTTAATCTGGAGGGCTGAGTCTGAGGAGGCAGGAGAGGGAGGAGCTGTGGGAAGATGGACTAAAGCAGGGTCTCCTTCCAGTCAGGAGGGGAGAGATCTGCTAGGAAAAGGAGATCCCCAAACGAATAACAGGGACGCGGGTGGCGCTGTGGGTAAAAGCCTCAGCACCTAGGGCTTGCCGATTGAAAGGTTGGCGGTTCGAATCCCCGCAGCGGGGTGAGCTCCCGTTGCTCGGTCCCAGCGCCTGCCAACCTAGCAGTTCGAAAGCACGTCAAAGTGCAAGTAGACGCTTACTGGCGGGAAGGTAAACGGCGTTTCCGTGTGCTGCGCTGGCTCGCCAGATGCAGCTTTGTCACGCTGGCCACGTGACCCGGAAGTGTCTCCGGACAGCGCTGGCCCCCGGCCTCTTAAGTGAGATGGGCGCACAACCCCAGAGTCTGTCAAGACTGGCCCGTACGGGCAGGGGTACCTTTACCTTTACCTTAAACGAATAACAAGGCCTGAGGGGATCCCCTGGGTCTGTGGGAAATCCCTCAGGGTGGCTAAGAGAGAGGCGGACGGACGAAAAGTGCCCCTCACTCAGGAACCAAAGTATTAGGCTGAGAAGGAAGCTGTGCTGCATTAAAAGGAACTGGGAAAAAGTAACTGGGGGAAGGAAGAGAAACCAAGTTAAGCCTTTTACCTCCTATTGTAGAACCATTTCTATCACAAACCAAGAACTCAGACACTGCCTGACCTCTAATAATGAACTATATGTTGTAGATATTCCCATAAACTTATTATGCTATTGTTGTGATATACAAATGACAAGAGAAGACTTGGTCAGTTTCTTTGTATCCTTCATTATTCCCATGATCGTTATTATGAAACTCAATTAAAACTTATTCCAAAAGGACAACACACACTCACAAGCACCCCCAGTGCTGCATCTGCAAAGCAGGCTGAGACCATAGAATCCAGGGAAATATTTGTAAAGGGCGCTGAGCGTTGCCAGGAGAGGTTCCCTTGGAGTGGCTGGGCAACCCCTCCTCCTTGCCAGGGAACTCAGGAATTACATCTGGTGGGAAGAGGGTCTCCCAGTAACTCTCAGCACTGGGGGGGGCTGCCTCTTTCACCCCCATCCCTCCCAAGGTTCCCTCCCTTCCCAGCAGGCCTTGGATTCCTTGGGTGAGGAGACCTCTGGTGGTTCTCTGTTCAGGGCTTCCTGGTCAGTCTCAGAAGATCATTTGGACACCTGAGAGGCTGCTTGTCTGAATGGGTGTACATGTGTCAAAGTCTGGAGAAGACCCTGTCGGATGAAGGAGTGGTGGAAGGAGTGAGGAAAACTTTCCTTCTAACTGAAGAACAACGGAGGGTTGGAACTCAGCATCACAACAGAAGACAATGGCTGTAGCCTGAGTTATTGGCACCACCCTGACAGAGCCAAGTGGGGCAGCCTGCCCACCGGCACAGCCATCGCCCCACAAGTGAGCCACGACAGAACGAGCTCCATTGGCCCCATGTCCTCAAGGCCCCGTTCCTCCTTCCTGGGGGTCCCTGAGGACTGGCTGCATGTAGACAGACATAAAAATACGCAAAAAGTGAAAACGGAAACCTGACTCACGCAATAAATAAACAAGGAAGATGGAGGGCCGAGAAAAGAAAAGGCTTCTTCTGCAGTGCAGAGTTAGACCTGGTTAGGGCGAGGAAACAAGCTGGGAGACGGCTGGAGGGGAGGAAAATTATGGTCCAATGCAACCAAGGCTGGTGAGGGTTCCTCATGGAGCCTTCCTGGTGGCCGGGAGGGAAGCAAGGAAGCAGACTTTGCCGTCTCAATAATGCTCCACTTTAACTGCCATTAACCTTTTAGAATGTATTAGGCACGGTTTCTGAGTGTTCTGCATTTGTGAATCTCCCCCCTCTTACGCTGCATTGCATCTCTCCTTACCTCACCCTGAAAGTGGAACAAATGGCAGGATGTTTTAGCAGCAGAGTGTAAATCAGCTCTCCGTGAAGCTATCTGAGACCCAGAAGAGGATTTGAGGATGCTCTTCCTCACTGAAGGTGAGGTTGCCAGGGCAATGCTGGACACCTGAGACCTGAAATGGTCTAATGGCCTGGGCACATGGGGCCACTCCAAGGTGATGGGGGGCTCTTTCCTGGGGTAGGAGGGAGAGCAGCTCTTGAGAACCCCAGGGTTAGAAACCCAACCCCCCCCCCAGCCTGGTGTGAAAATTGTACTCAGTCAACCACAGTTCTAAATACCTTCCTTGACCAAAAGCACCAAAAGGCAGGAGCAAACAGGCAGATTCATCTCACAGAAATCCCTCAGTTGCCATCACATTTGGCGGGGTCACTTCCCTTCTAGGAGGGCTAGACACGGTGGGGGGAATCAACCCCCCACGGCTCCCAGTTTGGATGGCATGGCCTCTTCCTGCTTCTGGGCCAGCTGAGTCTGGCTCATCCCCCTGGGCTCTCAGGAAGCCTCCAAGATATCAGAAGGAAGGAATCCCTTTTGTCTTCTGCCCAGTTCTGGCTGTCCTGAGTAGAGGGACCTCTACTTATTACAGTGTTTACGACCTATTTTGACGGGCATTAATGATCCTGGCCCACTTGAACTGGCTGCCAATTAGCTTCCACACCCAATTCAAAGAGCTGGTTTTGACCTATAAAGCCATTACCATTATTATTATTATTTCTAACAATTCGTGAAACCACAGTAAAACTAACAAACATTAAAAACTTCCTGATCTAAAAGTCAGATAGTTATTTATTTTCTTAACATCTAACAAGAGGGAGTTCCACAAGGCGGGTGACACTATCAAAAAGGCCCCCTGCCTTGTTCCATGTAACCTCACTTCCCACAATCAGGGAACTGGCAGAAGGCCTTCAGAAGTGGAACTCAGGGTCCGTGTTGAACATATTAATCAAAGTCTCTGAAAATTAAATTCATAGACAGCCATTGTCTGGTTTCTCCCCACTGTGCCATCTTTGATGGCCTATGAGACTGGTCTTCTGACCGAAGCTCTGCCCACATTCCAAGCATTGATATGGTTTCTCTCCTGTATGAATTCTTTCATGGACTATGAGATAGAACTTCCGGGTGAACCTCTTTCCACATTCCATGCACTGATATGGTTTCTCCCCTGTATGAATTCTTTGATGGGAAGTGAGACCTTCCTTCCAGGTGAAACTCTGTTCACATTCCATGCACTGATATGGTTTCTCTCCTGTATGAATTCTTTCATGGACTGTGAGATTGAACTTCCGACTGAAGCTCTTCCCACATTCCAAGCACTGATATGGTTTCTCCCCTGTATGACTTATTTGATGGGTTGTGAGATGGGCACTCCGACAGAACCTCTTCCCACATTCCAAACACTGATATGGTTTCTTCCCTGTATGAATTGTTTGATGGGAAGTGAGACTTTTCTTCCAGGTGAAACTCTTTCCACATTCAAAGCACTGAAATGGTTTCTCCCCTGTATGAATTCTCTGATGGGAAGTGAGATCCTTTTTCTGGGTAAAACTCTTCGCACATTCCAAGCATTGATATGGTTTCTCTCCTGTATGAAGTCTTTCATGGGCTGTTAGATTGAACTTCCGACTGAAACTCTTCTCACATTCCATGCACTGATACGGTTTCCCCCCTGTATGAATTCTTTGATGGGAAGTGAGACTCTCTTTCCGACTGAAGCTCTTCGCACATTCCAGGCACTGATAGGATTTATTCCCAAATGGATTTATTCGGAGGGAAGCGGAGTGGGAGCTTTGACTGAAGTTCTCTCTACACTCAGAATATTTACATTGCTTCTCCATGGTGTAGACATGGTCATGGTCTCCCTGGTTCTTAATCTCTGATTCATCACCAACTGCAACAAAGAAAGAAATGGATCACAGCCTCAGGGAGAAACGCAGCCCTCAGTTATTGAACTTTGCTAATTAATGCTTGGGACACAGGAAGAACTGAACTGAATTAAAAGTAAGGCCTTACAACAGGCTTCACTGCTTTTGTTGACAGGCATCAATGAACATATGTATGGGAACCTGAATGTCAGGAGTGGGGCAGCAATAAATCACACCGAGTAAGTGAAGTTAACTCCTTATGAGAAGCAACAGAAGTGTCTGCTCAGAAGTGGAAGAAGAAGAAGAGTTTGGATTTGATATCCCGCCTTCCACTCCCTTTAAGGAGTCTCAAAGTGGCTAACATTCTCCTTTCCCTTTCTCCCCCACAACAAACACTCTGTGAGGTGAGTGGGGCTGAGAGACTTCAGAGAAGTGTGACTGGCCCAAGGTCACCCAGCAGCTGCATGTGGAGGAGCGGAGACGCGAACCCGGTTCCCCAGATTACGAGACTACCGCTCTTAACCACCCAGGCCTAGTGAGCACAGCAATACTTCCCTCTGGGTCTGGCCCCTACGTGCCAGTTGTGGGGACTGAAGGCCCTGCCTTCCTACAACTGACTAAGTCCCCTCCTCTCCCAGATTCTTCCCAAGGGATCTTAAATTCCGAAAGAGATATCATGATCCAACAGGGAGCCTTACTGAGAGAGTTCATGATCCCACCATTCTCCTCCATGACTTCCTTATGCAGAGCTCTCTGGTCAGGATCCAGCAACGCCCACTCCTCGTCTGTGAAATGAACAGCTATATCTTCAAAGCATACAAGACCCTAAAAGAAGAAGAGAAAAGTCTTGCTCTCAGACAGCAGAAAGATCATCTTCTACACATTGTGCTGCTGTTTTGTGTCTGTTTGTTGCCGTATGGTTTTAATGGGATTGTTTGGCTGTACATTATAATTATGGATGTACGTTTTAACGTCTTAATGGAATTGTTTTATTGTGTATCTTAATGATGGGTATTCATCTTTGTGTAAATGGATGGAACTCCACCTGGTGTTCTTCAGATCCTTCTCTCTGCTCAACATTCCCTCCCTTTCCTCTCCCCGTCTACTGTTCTGGAGGGGGAAACCTTTGCCATGCCCTACAGCCAACTTCAGGGGTGCAGGGGGTCACAGGGAGGGGAAGGAGGGGGAAAGCCCTATAGTGTAACTGATGGGACTCGTGAGGTGAATTCTGGATCCCCTTTTTTATGGCTTGTCAGCTGTTGAGAAGCCTATCTTAGTATTAATTGTTAAATTGGTAAATAAAACTGAAGATACTGATAGATAATACTAGCATCATTCAGAAGGTTAGTGAACGTGAGGTGATTGTTAATCATTCTCTGATCTTAACCTTCTGGAGTGGCCTTTACAGTCTTTGTTAAGGACAATGTTGACAGAGGTCAAGAGCAGGAGCCTCTTTGCCTGCTATGCTCCGTCTCCCTACCTGATCTGGTTCCAGAGCTGCTGCTTCTCCTCTGCCTCCATGCAAAGATGAATGAGGAGGTATCCCTGGCATCATTCTGTCACCTGTGAGAGGCAAAGGGAAGTGGCCATTAGCACATGCTTTTCTTCGAGGTGAAGCAGTGCACCTCTAACTACAGATGGGGCACTCTATGCGCGGCTACCTTTGAAGGGGACTCAGAAACTAATCCAGAAGGAGGCTACCAGACTGGTGACTGGGAGCAGCTGCTGGGACCATATAACACTGGTCCTGAAAGACCTACACTGACTCCTAGTATGTTTCCAAGCACATTTCAACATGTTGGTATTGACCTTTGAAGCCCTAAACAGCCCTGGCCCTGTAGACCTGAAGGAGCGTCTCCACACCAATCGTTCAGCCCAGACACTGAGGTCCAGCTCCGAGGGCCTTCTGGCAGTTCCCTAACTGCGAGGAGTAAAGCTACAGAGAACCAGGCAGAGGGACTTCTCTTGGCCCCAAGTGTCTTCCCGCAAAAGGTGAAAGGAACCCACAGATTAGTTCCTAAATCCATAAAATGCAACCAAAGGGAGAAAAAGCTCCTTCCTCCTTACCCAGTGGCCTCTCTCTCCTGACCAACAGAGTCTTCTCTGCCTCAGAGGAATCCAGGCCCATTTCTGCAAAGATAATCTTTCCCTGAAAGAGCAACAAGGATTCAGAACAGAGGATGGAGAGAAATATTAGAAAAGGAATGGCAAAGGGAAAACCATTTCAGGATTCTTTCCAAAAGCTTAGTAGAGGATTTCAGGATACTCTCTCTCATGTTCAGAGCCCCTTGGGAGTATCCAGAGGAAAGTCTCCCTCACCTGCTTTCTCTCTGCCTGCTTCCTCTCCTCTGCCTGACTCAGGAGGAATCCTTCGGCCAGGGCCACCGCCTGGGAACTGGTCTCCGCTCCACATTCCCTCACCCAGCTCTCCATCTCCAGAGGAAGGACAGCCAGGAACTGCTCCAAGACCACCAGGTCCAGCATCTCAGCTTTCGTGTGCCTTTCTGGGTTCAGCCACTGATGGCAAAGGTGGTGGAGTTGGCTGCAAACTTCTCGGGGTCTTTTGGCCTCCTGGAAGCAGAACTGCCTCAGCTGCTGGCTCTGCACATCTGAGCGGAGAATGTCCTCCTCACCCAGGATCTTCTTCACGGAGCTTTCCCAGAATCCCTCACTGCTCCCAGTGTTGATGGCATGGCCCCTTCCTGCTTCAGGGCCAGCTGAGTCTTGCTCATCCATCTGTGTTCTCAGGAAGCCTCCAAGATATCAGAAGGAAACACTTGGCCTTCTGCTAAGTTCTGTCTGTCCTTATTAAAGCGGCTAGCAAATCCTACAAAGGAATATGTCTTTCTGTTATAAAATTCATATTATTATTATTATTTTATTAAAATCCTATAATTCAAAGTTCAAGGTGTTTTAAAAAAAATAATATTGACGGCACCATTAAGTACCATTTCTAATGAGTCTGGCATCTTTTTTAGGGCCGGACGATGACTGGTTTTCAACATCGTAATACAGTATATCACCAGCTAAACATCCCAATGCAGTGGTACCTCGGGTTAAGTACTTAATTCCTTCCGGACCTCCTGAAACTGTTCTTAACCTGAAGCACCAATTTAGCTAATGGGGCCTCCTGCTGCTGCCGTGCTGCCGGAGCACGATTTCTGTTCTCATCTTGAAGAAAAGTTCTTAACCCGAGATAATATTTCTGGGTTAGTGGAGTCTGTAACCTGAAGCGTCTGTAACCTGAAGCGTATGTAACCCGAGGTACCACTGTATTCCGGTTTTAAAAGAGCTGAATTTGTTGTCCATTCTATTGAAGGGGCTCCCCTGAGGGTTCACTTAGACCCGCCACAAATCTGAAGAAGCGCCTCCTTCCCTTCAGACCCTCTGGGGAGGGGAGGCTGGCAGAGGGGGGGTCCTCTTGTATTTGGGGGAGCAGGGTGGCCCCAGAAAGGGCATCCTGGTGGGAGTTCCTGGGCTGGGGCATACCCTCCCCACAGAGGCCCCCCTGGGACCCGCCCCTCTTTCCCAAGGCCTCTGACCCCAGAGACAGGTGTTTCCAGGACCCAGAAGTCTGGGAAGGGGAGCTGCTCAGAATGTTTCCCCCTGGCTGCCATCTCTGCCCATCTTTCCCTAACCTGAAAGGGGCTTCTTTGCCTGCCTTTTCTCAGCATCCCAAGGGAGACCACCCTGGCAAGCTCGCCCCCTCCCGGGCTGTGCAGAGGAAGGAGGGGGGCAGGACCCTACTCTCCCGGACCCCCCCCCATGCACCCTCCCGCTGCAGCCCTGGGACCCCTTTCTCCCAAGGGGGGGGGGGAGAGGAGGCTCACCGCATCCCGGGAGGCGAAACCTGCCCCCGCTTCCCCCGCTTGCAGGAAATGACGGAAGGGAGGGGGAGGGGCCTTTGCTGGGGGGGGGGACCTGGTCCCACCCCCTCCTTCCTTTCCTCTACTCTAGGAATCCAGCTCAGTTCCCTGCAACCCTTGCAAAGCGGAGCGCCCCGATCTCAGCCCCCCCCATCTAGAAATGATGAAGGGGGAGCAGCCCCGCCCTTTGCACCCGCCCAGAGAGGTTTTATGGAGTGTGCGCAGTGCGCTGCTAGAGTCTTGCTTTGCAGAGAGACGAGAAAAGAGGAGTGAGCTCGGGGTGCTCGGCTTGCCAAGGGTTAAAAGGAACGGGGCTGGATTCCTAGAGAGGAGAGGAGATGAAAGAGGGGAGAAGTCCTCCAGTGCAAAAGCCCCTCCCTCCCCACCCGCCCAGAGAGGTTTCTATTGCGGGGGGGGGGGACAGAAGTTGTCAGAGGACAAGGGGTCCCTTCCCATCCCTTGGAGGCTTCCTGAGAGGCCAGATGGAGGAGCCGGACTCAGCTGGCCCTGGAGGGAAGAGGCCATGCCATCAACACGGGGAGCAGGGGAGGATTTTGGGGAAGCACCCTCCTGACTAGGCGTTTGGCCGGGAAATGTGGACTGTTGCCTGTGAACTCTGCTCTCTCCCGTCTCCCCCTTTTCTGGTTCTGATTAAACCAATTCATGAACCAAGAACTCGTCCACTAATAATGATCCCGGTGTTGTAGACATTCCCATAAACTTATTGTGTGGTTTTGTGACGCACAGATGACAAGAGAACCCTCGGTCTACTTATTTGTATCCTTTCTTCCTCCTGTGAGCCTTGTTTATAAAACCCAATAAACCAGAATTCCAAAAAGGAAGGTGTTACGGAAGGGGGGGGCATGTCTTCTTCACCTCCTTCTTCGCTACAATATATCCATTTATTCCCAATTGTCAATGTCAAAGGGGACTAAAATCTATAAAATCCATAGAACGTGCCAATTTGCTCAATTTCTCTAGGACTCCTGGACACCTCCCCTGTCCTCCAAAATCCCTCAAGTAAGGTGTCAAGACCCTAATCCTGTCAAATCACTCTGCCAAGCCTTTCCTCCGGGCAATGCCAGGTGGCAGACTATGCATACATGGACCATTGACTTCCCATCACCTGCACTCAGGAAGCGCTTATCTGCGCATATCTCCAGCTCTGCATATTCCCCCCTCCCTCCTCCATATGTTAATCCGGTGTAACCCAACCTTTCCTTAATGTATTCATGATGTAACTGGGATGTATTTTGCACTGTATTCTGGGACATGGAGGGAGTTTCAAAAGTTCATGTCACCCCTTTTTCGCTGTTCAATCTCGTCTTGAACCTGTTGCGCAATAAACTTGGATCTTCTGCAGTTTGCTCCTGTCCGGCTGAGCTCATTTTCTTCCGCAGGGACCCGCGGTCTTACTTAGTCCGACGAGCTGGGTGGCAGAGTAGCCCCGCACCCAGATTTTAGCCGTAACAAAGGAAAAGGACAACACACACTCCCAGGTCCCCACCTGTGCTGCATCTGCAAAGCAGGATTATCCCACTTTAGAGAGCACTGGCTTCCTCCTAACTAAGAATCCTGGGGTCTGTGCTTTCTTAAGGATGCTGAGAGCTGCTAGGAGACACCCTCCAAGTCCGCTTTAATAATCTGTCCTTTTTGCCAGGGACCTCGGGGAATTACAGCTGGTGGGAAGAGGGTCTCTCAGCACTGGGGGGGGGGCTGCCTCTTTCACCCCCATCCCTCCCAAGGTTCCCTCCCTTCCCAGCAGGCCTTGGATTCCTTGGGTGGGGAGACCTCTGGTGGTTCTCTGTTCAGGGCTTCCTGGTCAGTCTCAGAAGATCATTTGGACACCTGAGAGGCTGCATGTCTGAACGGGCGCACCTGGGTCAAAGTCTGGTGAAAACCATGTCGGATGAAGGAGTGGTGGAAGGAGTGGGGAAAACTTTCCTTCTAACTGAAGAACAACGGAGGGTTGGAACTCAGCATCACAACAGAAGACAATGGCTGTAGCCTGAGTTATTGGCACCCACTCCGACAGAGCCAAGCGGGGCAGCCTGCCCACCGGCACAGCCATCGCCCCACAAGTGAGCCCCGACAGAACGAGCTCCATTGGCCCCACGTCCTCAAGGCCCCGTTCCTCCTCCCTGGGGGTCCCTGAGGACTGGCTGAATAGGGCACAGGTTCCCTATTTGAATCAGTGAGATGTTGGAGGGGATGTGTTTTGCCCATGCATGGGGGGGGACCCTGAAGTCAGGGAGCAGAGGGTCTTGCCCCCTTCCTCTCTGCAAAGCCAGGAAAGGTTCAAGGTAGGTTTCCTTTCATCCACTTTGGGGAGGGGACCTCTGGGTGAGGACAGCAGTGCAGCCTGACTTATTGGCACCCACTCCGACAGAGCCAAGCGGGGCAGCCTGCCCACTGGCACAGCCATCGCCCCACAAGTGAGCCCCGACAGAACGAGCTCCATTGGCCCCACGTCCTCAAGGCCCCATTCCTCCTCCCTGGGGGTCCCTGAAGACTGGCTGCATGTAGAGAGACATAAAAATACGCAAAAAGTGAAAACGGAAACCTGACTCACGCAATAATAAGGAAGATGGAGGACCGAGAAAAGAAAAGGCTTCTTCTGCAGCGCAGAGTTAGACCTGGTTAGGGCGAGGAAACAAGCTGGGAGATGGCTGCAGACGAGGAAAATTATGGTCGAATGCAAGGAAGACTGGTGAGGGTTCATCATGGAGCCTTCCTGGTGGCCGGGAGGGAAGCAAGAAAGCAGACTTTGCCGTCTCAATAATGCTCCACTTTAACTGCCATTAACCTTTTAGAATGTATTAGGCACGGTTTGCATTTGTGAATCTCCCCTCTCTTACGCTGCATTGCATCTCTCCTTACCTCACCCTGAAAGTGGAACAAATGGCAGGATGTTTTAGCAGCAGAGTGTAAATCAGCTCTCCGGGAAGCTATCTGAGACCCAGGAAGAGGATTTGGGGATGCTCTTACTGAAGGCGAGGTTGCCAGGGCAATGCTTGAGACCTGAAGAGGTCTAATGGCCTGGGCACATGGGGCCACTCCAAGGTGATGGGGGCTCTTTCCTGGGGTAGGAGGGAGAGCAGCTCTTGAGGACCCCAGGGTTAGAAACCCCCCCCCAGCCTGGTGTGAAAATTGTACTCAGTCAACCACAGTTCTAAATTCCTTCCTTGACCAAAAGCACCAAAAGGCAGGAGCAAGCAAGCAGATTCTTCTCACAGAAATCCCTTCGGTTGCCATCACATTTGGCGGGGTCACTTCCCTTCTAGGAGGGCTAGACATGGCCCGGAATCAACCCCCCACTGCTCCCAGTTTGATGGCATGGCCTCTTCCTGCTTCTGGGCCAGCTGAGTCTTCCTCATCCACCTGGGCTCTCTGGAAGCCTCCAAGAGATCAGAAGGAAGGAATCCCTTTTGTCTTCTGCCCAGTTCTGGCTGTCCTGAGTAGAGGGACCTCTACTTATTACAGTGTTTACGACCTATTTTGACGGGGATTAATAATCCTAGCCCAACTGAACTGGCTGCCAATTAGCTTCCACACCCAATTCAAAGTGCCAGTTTTGACCTATAAAGCCCTTACCATTATTTTTATTATTTCTAACAATTCATGAAACCACAGTAAAACTAACAAACTAAAAAACTTCTTTATCTAAAACTCAGATAGTCATTTATTTTCTTAACATCTAAAAACAGGGAGTTCCACAAGGCGGGTGACACTATCAAAAATGCCCCCTGCCTTGTTCCATGTAACCTCACTTCCCACAATCAGGGAACTGGCAGAAGGCCTTCAGAAGTGGAACTCAGGGTCCACGTTGAACATATTAATCAAAATAAAAAAATTCCTTCCTGTAGCACCTTAAAGACCAACTAAGTTAGTTCTTGGTATAAGCTTTCGTGTGCATGCACACTTCTTCAGATACACTGAAACAGAACGATATTAATCAAAGTCTCTGAAAATTTTTCATATACAGCCATTGTCTGGTTTCTCCCCACTGTGACATCTTTGATGGACTATGAGACTGGTCTTCTGACCGAAGCTCTGTCCACATTCCAAGCATTGATATGGCTTCTCTCCTGTATGAATTATTTCATGGACTATGAGATAGAACTTCTGGGTGAACCTCTTTCCACATTACAAGCACTGATACGGTTTCTCTCCTGTATGAATTCTTTGATGGGAAGTGAGACTTTCCTTCCGATAGAAGCTCTTTCCACATTCCAAGCACTGATACGGTTTCTCTCCTCTATGAATCCTTTGATGGGCTGTGAGATTGAACTTCTGATTGAAGCTCTTTCCACATTCCAAGCACTGATACGGTTTCTCCCCTGTATGAATCCTTTGATGGGAAGTGAGACCTTCCTTCCAGGTGAACCTCTGTCCACATTCCAAGCACTGATATGGTTTCTCTCCTGTATGAATTCTTTTATGGGCTGTGAGATTGAACTTCCGATTGAAGCTCTTCCCACATTCCAAGCACTGATATGGTTTCTCCCCTGTATGAATTCTCTGATGGGAAGTGAGATCCTTTTTCTGGGTAAAGCTCTTCGCACATTCCAAGCACTGATAGGATTTCTTCCCAAATGGATTTCTTCGGAGGGAGCTTTGACTGATCTTCTCTCTACACTCAGAATATTTACATGGCTTCTCCATGGTGTAGACATTGTCATGGTCTCCCTGGTTCTTAATCTCTGATTCATCAGCATCTGCAACAAAGAAAGAAACGGATCACAGCCTCAGGGAGAAACGCAGCGCTCAGTTATTGATCTTTGCTAATTAATGCTTGGGACACGGGAAGAACTGAACTGAATTCAAAGTAAGGCCTTACAACAGGCTTCACTGCTTTTGTTGACAGGCATCAATGAACATATTTATGGAACCGGAATGTCAGGAGTGGGGCAGAAATAAATCATACGGAGTAAGTGAAGTTAACTCCTTATGAGAAGCAACAGGCTGCTCAGAAGTGTCAGGTCTAGTGAGCACAGCAATACTTCTCTCTGGGTCTGGCCCCTATGAGCCAGTTGTGGGGACTGAAGGCCCTGCCTTCCCACAACTGACTAAGTCTCCTCCTCTCCCAGATTCTTCCCAAGGGATCTTAAATTCCGAAAGAGATGATCCAACAGGGAGCCTTACTGAGAGAGTTCATGATCCCACCATTCTCCTCCATGACTTCTTTATGCAGAGCTCTCTGGTCAGAATCCAGCAACGCCCATTCCTCGTCTGCGAAACGAACAGCTATATCTTCAAAGCATACTAGACCCTAAAAGAAGAAGAGAAAAGTCTTGCTCTCAGGCAGCAGAAATATAATCTTCTACACATTGTTTTGTTGTTTTGTGTCTGTTTGTTGCCGTATGGTTTTAATGGGATTGTTTGGCTGTACATTTTAATTATGGATGCACGTTTTAACCTCTTAATGGAATTGTTTTATTGTGTATTTTATTGATGGATATTCATCTTTGTGTAAATGGGTGGAACTCCACCTGGTGTTTTTCAGATCATTCTCACTGCTCAACATTCCCCCCTTTCCTCTCCCCGTCTACTGTTCTGGAGGGGGAAACCTTCGCCATGCCCTACAGCCAACTTCAGGGTTGCAGGGGGTCACAGGGAGGGGAAGGAGGGGGAAAGCCCTATAGTGCAACTGATGGGACTCGTGAGGTGAATTCTGGATCCCCTTTTTTATGGCTTGTCAGCTGTTGAGAAGCCTATCTTAGTATTAAATGTTGAATTGGTAAATAAAACTGAAGGTACTGATAGATAATACTAGCATCATTCAGAAGGCTAGTGAACGTGAGGTGATTGTTAATCATTCTCTGCACATAAACCTTCTGGAGTGGCCTTTACTGCCTTTGTTAAGGAGAATTTTGACAGAAGTCAAGAGCAGGAGCCTCTTTGCCCGCAATGGTCCTTCTCCCTACCTGATCTGGTTCCAGAGCTGATGTTTCTCCTCTGCCTCCACGCAAAGATGGATTAAGAGGTCTTGGCAGCATCATTCTGTCACCTGTGAGAGGCAAAGGGAGGTGGCAGGCCATTAGCACATGCTTTTCTTCGAGGTGAAGCAGTGCACCTCTAACTACAGATGGGGCGCTCTATGCGTGGGTACCTTTGAAGGGGACTCAGAAACTAAGCCAGAAGGAGACTACCAGACTGGTGACTGGGAGCAGCTGCTGGGACTATATATCACTGGTCCTGAAAGACCTACACTGGCTCCTAGTATGTTTGCAAGCACAATTCAACATGTTGGTATTGACCTTTGAAGCCCTAAACAGCCTCGGACCTGTAGACCTGAAGGAGCGTCTCCACACCAATCGTTCAGCCTGGACACTGAGGTCCAGCTCCAAAGGCCTTCTGGTAGTTCCCTCACTGCGAGGAGTAAAGCTACAGAGAACCAGGCAGAGGGACTTCTCTTGGCCCCAAGTGTCTTCCCCCAAAAGATGAAAAGAACCCACAGATTAGTTCCTAAATCCATAAAATGCAACCAAAGGGAGAAAAAGCTCCTTCCTCCTTACCCAGCGGCCTCTCTCTCCTGACCAACGGAGTCTTCTCTGCCTCAGAGGAATCCAGACCCATTTCTGCAAAGATAATCTTTCCCTGAAAGAGCAACAAGGATTCAGAACAGAGGATGGAGAGAAATATTAGAAAAGGAATGGCAAAGGGGAAACCATTTGGGGGTGCTTTCCAAAAGCTTAGTAGAGGATTTCAGGATACTCTCCCTCCTTTTCGGAGCCCCTTGGGAGTATCCAGAGGACAGTCTCTCTCACCTGCTGCTCTGCCTGCTTCCTCTCCTCTGCCTGACTCAGGAGGAATCCTTCGGCCAGGGCCACCGCCTGGGAACTGGTCTCCGCTCCACATTCCCTCACCCACCTCTCCATCTCTGGCGGAAGGACAGCCAAGAACTGCTCCAAGATCACCAGGTCCAGCATCTCAGCTTTCGTGTGCCTTTCTGGCTTCAGCCACTGATGGCAAAGGTGGTGGAGTTGGCTGCAAACCTCTCGGGGTGCTTTGGCCTCCTGGTAGCAGAACTGCCTGAACTGCTGGCTCTTCATATCAGAGTGGAGGGTGTCCTCCTCACCCAGGATCTTCTTCACAGAGTTTTCCCAGAATCCCTCACTGCTCCCAGTGTTGATGGCATGGCCCCTTCCTGCTTCTGGGCCGGCTGAGTCTTGCTCATCCATCTGTGTTCTCAGGAAGCCTCCAAGAAATCAGAAGGAACCCCTTGGCCTTCTTCTAAGTACTAAGCGGTTAGTAAATCCTACAAAGGAATATGTCTTTCTGTTATATAATTGATATTATTATCATTCTTATTTTATTAAAATCCTATAATTCAAAGTTCAAGGTGTTTTTTAAAAAATAATATTGACAGCATCACCAAGTACCTTTTCTAATGAGTCTGGCATCTTTTTTAGGGCCGGACGATGCCTGGTTTTCAACATCGTAATACAGTATATCACCAGCTAAGCATCCCAATACAGTGGTACCTCGGGTTAAGTACTTAATTCGATCCGGACCTCCTGAAACTGTTCTTAACCTGAAGCACCAATTTAGCTAATGGGGCCTCCTGCTGCCGCCGCGCTGCGGGAGCACGATTTCTGTTCTGATGCTGAAGCAAAGTTCTTAATCCGAGGTACTATTTCTGGGTTAGCGGAGTCTGTAACCTGAAGCGTATGTAACCCGGGGTTCCACTGTATTCCGGTTTTAAAACAGCTGCAATGGTTGTCTATTGAAGGGGCTCCCCTGAGGGCTCACTTAGACCCCCCCAAATCTGAAGAAGCGCCTCCTTCCCTTCAGACCCTCTGGGGTGGGGAGGCTGGCAGAGGGGAGCAGGGCGGCCCCAGAAAGGGCATCCTGGTGGGCGTTCCTGGGCTGGGGCATACCCTCCCCACCGAGGCCCCCCTGGCACCAAGGCCTCTGACCCCACAGACAGGTGTTTCCAGGACCCAGAAGTCTGGGAAGGGGAGCTGCTGAGAATGTTTCCCGCTGGCTGCCATCTCTGCCCATCTTCCCCTCACCTGAAAGGGGCTTCTTTGCCTGCCTGCATCCCAGCATCCCCAGGGAGACCAGCTCGCCCCCTCCCGGGCTCTGCAGAGGAAGGAGGGGGCAGGACCCTCCTCTCCCCGACCCCCCTCCATGCACCCCCCCCCCCGCTGCAGCCCTGGGACCCCTTTCTCCCAAGGGGGGGGGAAGAGGCTCACCGCATCCCGGGAGGCGCCCCCTCGCAGGCCAAACCTCCCCCCGCTTGCAGGAAATGACGGGAGGGAGGGGGAGGGGCCTTGCTGGGGGGGGGAGGGCCTGGTCCCACCCCCTCCTTCCTCTACTCTCTAGGAATCCAGCTCAGTTCCCTGCAACCCTTGCAAAGCGGAAAGGAAGGATCAGGGAGGAGCCCCGCCCTTGGCCCCCGCCCAGAGAGGTTTCTTTCGCGGGGGGGGGGGGCAGAAGTTGGCAGAGGACAAGGGCTCCCTTGCCATCCCCTGGAGGCTTCCTGAGAGCCCAGATGGAGGAGCCGGACTCAGCTGGCCCTGGAGGGAAGAGGCCATGCCATGGAAACGGGGAGCAGGGGGCGATTTGGGGGAAACACCTTCCTGACTCGGCGCTCGGCCAGGCAATGTGGACGGTGACCTGTGAACTCTGCTCTCTCCTGTTTCCCCCTTTTCTGGTTTTAATTAAACCAATTCATGAACCAAGAACTCGTACACTAATAATGATCCCGGTGTTGTAGACATTCCCATGAACTTATTGTGTGGTTTTTGTGATGCACAGATGACAAGAGAACACTCGGTCTACTTATTTGTATCCTTTATTCCTCCTGTGAGCCTTGTTTATAAAACCCAATAAGCCAGAATTCCAAAAAGGAAGGAAAAAGACAAGACACACTCCCAGGTCCCCATCTGTGCTGCATCTGCAAAGCAGGATTGTCCCACTTTAGAGAGCACTGGCTTCCTCCTATCTAAGAATCCTGGGATCTGTAGTTTCTTAAGGATGCTGAGAGCTGCTAGGAGACACCCTCCAAGTGCGCTTTAATAATCTGTCCTTTTTGCCAGGGACCTCCGGGAATTACAGATGGTGGGGAGAGGGTCTCCCAGTAACTCTCAGCACTGGGGGGGGGCTGCCTCTTTCACCCCCATCCCTCCCAAGGTTCCCTCCCTTCCCAGCAGGGCTTGGATTCCTTGGGTGGGGAGACTTCCAAGAGTTATCAGCAAGGCTTTCTGGTCAGTCTCAGAAGATCATTTGGACACCTGAGAGGCTGCATGTCCGAACGGGTGTACATGTGTCAAAGTCTGGCGAAAACCATGTCGGATGAAGGAGTGGTGGATGGTGAGGAAAACTTTCCTTCTCACTGAAGAACATTGGAGCGTTGGAACTCAGCATCACAACAGAAGACGATGGCTGTAGCTTGAATTATTGGCGGCCACCCTGACAGAGCCAAGTGGGGCAGCCTTCCCACCGGCACAGCCATCGCCCCACAAGTGAGCCCTGACAGAACGAGCTCCATTGGCCCCATGCCTTCAAGGCCCCGTTCCTCCTCCCTGGGGGTCCCTGAGGACTGGCTGAATAGGGCACAGGTTCCCTATTTGAATCAATGAGATGTTGGAGGGGATGTGTTTTGCCCATGCATGGGGGGACCCTGAAGTCAGGGAGCAGAGGGTCTTGCCCCCTTCCTCTCTGCAAAGCCAGGAAAGGTTCAAGGTAGGTTTCCTTTCATCCACTTTGGGGAGGGGACCTCTGGGTCAGGACAGCAGTGCAGCCTGACTTATTGGCGGCCACTCCGACAGAGCCAAGCGGGGCAGCCTGCCCACTGGCACAGCCATCGCCCCACAAGTGAGCCCCGACAGAACGAGCTCCATTGGCCCCACGTCCTCAAGGCCCCGTTCCTCCTCCCTGGGGGTCCCTGAAGACTGGCTGCATGTAGAGAGACATAAAAATACACAAACAGTGAAAACGGAAACCTGACTCACGCAATAAATAAACAAGGAAGATGGAGGACCGAGAAAAGAAAAGGCTTCTTCTGCAGCGCAGTTAGACCTGGTTAGGGCGAGGAAACAAGCTGGGAGATGGCTGCAGACGAGGAAAATTATGGTCGAATGCAAGGAAGACTGGTGAGGGTTCCTCATGGAGCCTTCCTGGTGGCCGGGAGGGAAGCAAGGAAGGAGACTTTGCTGTCTCAATAATGCTCCACTTTAACTGCCATTAACCTTTTAGAATGTATTAGGCACGGTTTGCATTTGTGAATCTCCCTGCTCTTACGCTACATTGCATCTCTCCTTACCTCACCCTGAAAGTGGAACAAATGGCAGGATGTTTTAGCAGCAGAGTGCAAATCAGCTCTCCGGGAAGCTATCTGAGACCCAGGAAGAGGATTTGGGGATGCTCTTCCTCACTGAAGGCGAGGCTGCCAGGGCAATGCTGGACACCTGAGACCTGAAATGGTCTAATGGCCTGGGCACATGGGGCCACTCCAAGGTGATGGGGTTCTTTCCTGGGGTAGGAGGGAGAGCAGCTCTTTTTTTTAAAGAATTTTTTTATTTTCAATGCAGAATCATAACAAAAATTACAAACATTGAATCCAAAATAATACTGTACAAACAAAAATCCCCAGAACATATAAAAAAGAAGAAAAAACAGAAAAGGGAAAGGGGGGAAAAAAACAAAGGAAACAAAATTAAACTAAACAAAAACGAAAAAGCACACATCTACGGAAAAAAACCATGTCATTACGTACATAAACACAAATTGACTTCCTTCCTTTGTTCTAAGACCTCAAAAAATTTACTCTTACTGTATTGTTGTGTCTAATTAGATTACTTCCACCTTGGTACTTTTTATTTTTTTTTTACACCATTTTTATTTTTCTTTAACCCTGTAAAGCATCATTCATTACATACCAATATACTAACTCTGGAATAATGTTTTTTCAAATACTCTTTAGCACAACCCGATTCTTTTAATAATTTCTGGTCCGGTTGTCCCCTTATGTAAGCTGTGAGTCTTGCCACATTTATGTATTCACATAATTTAACTTGCCAATCTTTCACTGATGGAATTTTTCTGCCTTTCCAGTTTTTAGCTATAAGCATCCTGGCAGCTGTTGTTGCATAAAGCAGTGTTTCCCAACCGGTGTTCCGCGGCACACTAGTGTGCCGCGAGAGATTGCCTGGTGTGCCGTGGGAGGGAGGCGGGCGAGTCGGGCGGTGAGAGGCGGGGCGGCGGCGGCGAGGATCCGCGTCGAGCCGGGGGCGGCTCCGCGGTGGTGGTGCCGAGGTTTCTCTCTCCATTCTCCCCTCACACACACACAGAGGAAATAACAGGACTCAGCTGACAGGACCCGGCCAATGGGGCGGCGGCGGGGCAGCGCGCGCAAAAGGGAGGAGCGCGAGACAGCGGACGAGGAGGAGGCCGGCATGTCCGGGCAGCAGCAGCAACTCCCGGCGACGGCTCCTCAAGCCCCGGGCAACCCTACTCCCTCACCGGCCTCGGCCGCCCTCCTGCTCCACCCGCCGCCGCCTCCCCCGCCGCCGCCGGCCACCTCGGCCCCGCCGCCGCCCCCTCCTCCGCCCGCTATCGCCGCCACCACCACCACAGCCGCCGCCGCCTCAGCTGGGCCCATGCCTGCCGGGAGCGGCGGCGGCAGCAGCAGCAGCAGCGCCCCGGCGCCCTTCCCTCACGGCGGCGACCCGGCCCCCCCCCCACCCCCAAAGCTTGGAGGTTCCCCGGCAAGGGGAGGGAAAAAAATTGAAACTTACACTTTCGTGCGTCCCTCCCGGCGTGACGATGCGCGCTGACGTCACGGGGCTGTAATGGTGGTGTGCCTCGAGATTTTTTTCATCAAACAAGTGTGCCTTTGCCCAAAAAAGCTTGGGAAACACTGGCATAAAGGAATACTTTCCTTTGATTTTCGGGGATATCATTTGTAATTAAACCTAAAAGGAATGCCTCCGTTTTTTTACTGAAAGATAATTTAGACATCTTTTTGAGTTCTTCATAGATTTCATTCCAGGATTGTTTAATAGGTCGGCATTCCCACCACATGTGAAACATTGTTCCTATTTATTTTTTACATCTCCAACAGGTATTCGATTTTAATTTGTAAATTTTTGCCAATTTTACCGGAGTTAAGTACCATTGGTACACCATTTTCATAAAATTTTCTCTTATTGTATAACATGCCGTGAATTTAATATCATATTTCCATAATTTCTCCCATTGGTCCAGCCGAATTACATATCCTATATCGCATGCCCATTTAATCATAACTTCTTTTACTTCTTCATCCTTTAATTCCCATTCTAATAGTAAATTATACATTTTGGATATAATTTTTTTTGAGTTTTGTAGTAATACTTTTTGTAATTTTGATTCTTCCTTTTCAAATCCTATTACTTTATCCTGGTTGAATAGAGGGAGAGCAGCTCTTAAGGACCCCAGGATTAGAAACACACACCCCATCAGCCTGGTGTGAAAATTGTACTCAGTCAACCACAGTTCTAAATTCCTTCCTTGACCAAAAGGCAGGAGCAAACAGGCAGATTCATCTCACAGAAATCCCTTCGGTTGCCATCACATTTGGCGGGGTCACTTCCCTTCTAGGAGGGCTAGACACGGTGGGGGGAATCAACCCCCCACTGCTCCCAGTTTGGATGGCATGGCCTCTTCCTGCTTCTGGGCCAGCTGAGTCTGGCTCATCCCCCTGGGCTCTCAGGAAGCCTCCAAGATATCAGAAGGAAGGAATCCCTTTTGTCTTCTGCCCAGTTCTGGCTGTCCTGAGTAGAGGGACCTCTACTTATTACAGTGTTTCCGACCTATTTTGACGGGCATTAATAATCCTAGCCCAACTGAACTGGCTGCCAATTAGCTTCCACACCCAATTCAAAGTGCCAGTTTTGACCTATAATGCCATTACCATTATTTTTATTATTTCTAACAATTCATGAAACCACAGTAAAACTAACAAACATTAAAAACTTCCTGATCTTAAAGTCAGATAGTTGTTTATTTTCTTAACATCTAAAAACAGGGAGTTCCACAAGGCGGGTGACACTATCAAAAAGGCCCCCTGCCTTGTTCCATGTAACCTCACTTCCCACAATCAGGGAACTAACAGAAGGCCTTCAGAAGTGGAACTCAGGATCCAGGTGGAACATCAAAGTCTCTGAAAAGTATTCATATACAGCCATTGTCTGGTTTCTCCCCACTGTGACATCTTTGATGGCCTATCAGACTGGTCTTCTGACCGAAGCTCTGTCCACATTCCAAGCATTGATATGGTTTCTCTCCTGTATGAATTCTTTCATGGACTGTGAGATAGAACTTCCGGGTGAACCTCTTTCCACATTCCAAGCACTGATACGGTTTCTCTCCTGTATGAATTCTTTGATGGGAAGTGAGACTTTCCTTCCAGTTGAAGCTCTTTCCACATTCCAAGCACTGAAACGGTTTCTCCCCTGTATGAATCCTTTGATGGGAAGTGAGACCTTCCCTCCAGGTGAAACTCTGTCCACATTCCAAGCATTGATATGGTTTATCTCCTGTATGAATTCTTTCATGGACTGTGAGATTGGACCTCCGACTGAAGCTCTTCCCACATTCCAAGCACTGATACGGTTTCTCTCCTCTATGAATTCTTTGATGGGAAGTGAGACTTTCCTTCCGGTTGAAGCTCTTTCCACATTCCAAGCACTGATACGGTTTCTCCCCTGTATGAATCCTTTGATGGGAAGTGAGACCTTCCCTCCAGGTGAAACTCTGTCCACATTCCAAGCATTGATATGGTTTCTCTCCTGTATGAATTCTTTCATGGACTGTGAGATAGAACTTCCGGGTGAACCTCTTTCCACATTCCAAGCACTGATACGGTTTCTCTCCTGTATGAATTCTTTGATGGGAAGTGAGACTTTCCTTCCGGTTGAAGCTCTTTCCACATTCCAAGCACTGATACGGTTTCTCCCCTGTATGAATCCTTTGATGGGAAGTAAGACCTTCCCTCCAGGTGAAACTCTGTTCACATTCCAAGCATTGATATGGTTTCTCTCCTGTATGAATTCTTTCATGGACTGTGAGATTGGACCTCCGACTGAAGCTCTTCCCACATTCCAAGCACTGATATGGTTTCTCCCCTGTATGAATTCTTTGATGGGAAGTGAGACTCTCTTTCCGATTGAAGCTCTTCGCACATTCCAAGCACTGATAGGATTTCTTCACCAATGGATTTATTCGGAGGGAGCTTTGACTGAAGTTCTCTCTACACTCAGAATATTTACATGGCTTCTCCATGGTGTAGACATGGTCATGGTCTCCCTGGTTCTTAATCTCTGATTCATCAGCATCTGCAACAAAGAAAGAAACGGATCACAGCCTCAGGGAGAAACGCAGCGCTCAGTTATTGATCTTTGCTAATTAATGCTTGGGACACGGGAAGAACTGAACTGAATTCAAAGTAAGGCCTTACAACAGGCTTCACTGCTTTTGTTGACAGGCATTAATGAACATATTTATGGAACCGGAATGTCAGGAGTGGGGCAGCAATAAATCACACAGAGTAAGTGAAGTTAACTCCTTATGAGAAGCAACAGGCTGCTCAGAAGTGTCAGGCCTAGTGAGCACAGCAATACTTCCCTCTGGGTCTGGCCCCTATGAGCCAGTTGTGGGGACTGAAGGCCCTGCCTTCCCACAACTGACTAAGTCTCCTCCTCTCCCAGATTCTTCCCAAGGGATCTTAAATTCCGAAAGAGATATGATCCAACAGGGAGCCTTACTGAGAGAGTTCATGATCCCACCATTCTCCTCCATGACTTCTTTATGCAGAGCTCTCTGGTCAGGATCCAGCAACGCCCACTCCTCTTCTGTGAAATGAACAGCTATATCTTCAAAGCATACTAGGCCCTAAAAGAAGAAGAGAAAAGTCTTGCTCTCAGGCAGCAGAAAGATCATCTTCTACACACTGTGCTGCTGTTTTGTGTCTGTTTGTTGCCATATGGTTTTAATGGGATTGTATGGCTGTACATTTTAATTATGGATGTACGTTTTAACATCTTAATGGAATTGTTTTATTGTGTATTTTATTGATGGATATTCATGGATGGAACTCCACCTGGTATTCTTCAGATCCTTCTCTCTGCTGGACATTCCCCCCTTTCCTCTCCCCGTCTACTGTTCTGGAGGGGGAAACCTTCGCCATGCCCTACAGCCAACTTCAGGGTTGCAGGGGGGTCACAGGGAGGGGAAGGAGGGGGAAAGCCCTATAGTGCAACTGATGGGACTCGTTAGGTGAATTCTGGCCCCTCTTCTTTATGGTTTGTCAGCTGTTGAGAAGCCTATCTTAGTATTAAATGTTAAATTGGTAAATAAAACTGAAGCTACTGATAGATAATACTAGCATCATTCAGAAGGCTAGTGAACGTGAGGTGATTGTTAATCATTCTCTGCACATAAACCTTCTGGAGTGCCCTTTACTGCCTTTGTTAAGGAGAATTTTGACAGAAGTCAAGAGCAGGAGCCTCTTTGCCCGCAATGGTCCTTCTCCCTACCTGATCTGGTTCCAGAGCTGATGTTTCTCCTCTGCCTCCACGCAAAGATGGATTAAGAGGAATTGGCGGCATCATTCTGTCACCTGTGAGAGACAAAGGGAGGTGGCAGGCCATTAGCACATGCTTTTCTTCGAGGTGAAGCAGTGCACCTCTAACTACAGATGGGGCGCTCTATGCACAGGTCCCTTTGAAGGGGACTCAGAAACTAAGCCAGAAGGAGGCTACCAGACTGGTGACTGGGAGCAGCTGCTGGGACCATATAACACTGGTCCTGAAAGACCTACACTGGCTCCTAGTATGTTTCCAAGCACAATTCAACATGTTGGTATTGACCTTTGAAGCCCTAAACAGCCTCGGACCTGTAGACCTGAAGGAGCGTCTCCACACCAATCATTCAGCCCGGACACTGAGGTCCAGCTCCAAGGGCCTTCTGGTAGTTCCCTCACTGCGAGGAGTAAAGCTACAGAGAACCAGGCAGAGGGACTTCTCTTGGCCCCAAGTGTCTTCCCCCAAAAGATGAAAAGAACCCACAGATTAGTTCCTAAATCCATAAAATGCAACCAAAGGGAGAAAAAGCTCCTTCCTCCTTACCCAGCGGCCTCTCTCTCCTGACCAACGGAGTCTTCTCTGCCTCAGAGGAATCCAGGCCCATTTCTGCAAAGATAATCTTTCCCTGAAAGAGCAACAAGGATTCAGAACAGAGGATGGAGAGAAATATTAGAAAAGGAATGGCAAAGGGAAAACCATTTGGGGATGCTTTCCGAAAGCTTAGTAGAGGATTTCAGGATACTCTCCATTCTGTTCAGAGCCCCTTGGGAGTATCCAGAGGACAGTCTCTCTCACCTGCTGCTCTGCCTGCTTCCTCTCCTCTGCCTGACTCAGGAGGAATCCTTCGGCCAGGGCCACCGCCTGGGAACTGGTCTCCGCTCCGCATTCCCTCACCCAGCTCTCCATCTCTGGCGGAAGGACAGCCAGGAACTGCTCCAAGATCACAAGATCCAGCATCTGAGCTTTCGTGTGCCTTTCTGGCTTCAGCCACTGATGGCAAAGATGGTGGAGTTGGCTGCAAACTTCTCGGGGTCCTTTGGCCTCCTGGTAGCAGAACTGCCTGAACTGCTGGCTCTTCATATCAGAGTGGAGGGTGTCCTCCTCACCCAGGATCTTCTTCACGGAGCTTTCCCAGAATCCCTCACTGCTCCCAGTGTTGATGGCATGACCCCTTCCTGCATCAGGGCCGGCTGAGTCTTGCTCATCCATCTGTGTTCTCAGGAAGCCTCCAAGAAATCAGAAGGAAACCCCTTGGCCTTCTTCTAAGTACTAAGCGGTTAGTAAATCCTACAAAGGAATATGTCTTTCTGTTATATAATTGATATTATTATCATTCTTATTTATTAAAATCCTATAATTCAAAGTTCAAGGTGTTTTTTAAAAAATAATATTGACAGCATCACCAAGTACCTTTTCTAATGAGTCTGGCATCTTTTTTTAGGGCCGGACGATGCCTGGTTTTCAACATCGTAATACAGTATATCACCAGCTAAGCATCCCAATACGGTGGTACCTCGGGTTAAGTACTTAATTCGTTCCGGACCTCCTGAAACTGTTTCTTAACCTGAAGCACCACTTTAGCTAATGGGGCCTCCTGCTGCTGCCGCGCTGCCGGAGCACGATTTCTGTTCTGATGCTGAAGCAAAGTTCTTAACCCGAGGTACTATTTTCTGGGTTAGCGGAGTCTGTAACCTGAAGCGTATGTAACCCGGGGTTCCACTGTATTCCGGTTTTAAAACAGCTGCAATGGTTGTCTATTGAAGGGGCTCCCCTGAGGGCTCACTTAGACCCCCCCAAATCTGAAGAAGCGCCTCCTTCCCTTCAGACCCTCTGGGGTGGGAGGCTGGCAGAGGGGAAGCAGGGCGGCCCCAGAAAGGGCATCCTGGTGGGCGTTCCTGGGCTGGGGCATACCCTCCCCACCGAGGCCCCCCTGGCACCAAGGCCTCTGACCCCACAGACAGGTGTTTCCAGGACCCAGAAGTCTGGGAAGGGGAGCTGCTGAGAATGTTTCCCGCTGGCTGCCATCTCTGCCCATCTTCCCCTCACCTGAAAGGGGCTTCTTTGCCTGCCTGCATCCCAGCATCCCCAGGGAGACCAGCTCGCCCCCTCCCGGGCTCTGCAGAGGAAGGAGGGGCAGGACCCTCCTCTCCCCGACCCCCCTCCATGCACCCCCCCCCCCGCTGCAGCCCTGGGACCCCTTTCTCCCAAGGGGGGGGGGAAGAGGCTCACCGCATCCCGGGAGGCGCCCCCTCGCAGGCCAAACCTCCCCCCGCTTGCAGGAAATGACGGGAGGGAGGGGGAGGGGCCTTGCTGGGGGGGAGGGCCTGGTCCCACCC